GGATGGTCTCGATCTCCTGACCTCGTGATCCGCCCGTCTCGGCCTCCCAAAGTGCTGGGATTACAGGCTTGAGCCACCGCGCCCGGCCCACTGTATAGTTTTTAAAGTGTTTCTTAAAACATATATTCATTTCTTTATTCATTCAATAAACAGTAACTGAGAGTCTATGATGTCCTAGGTACTGTGCTTGGCACTCAAATGCTAACCAGGCAGACATGATCTGTCTTTCTTCCCCATCTAATGGGGAATACAGACTATAAATAAACAGGTGGATAGTATAATAAAAGCTCTGATGAGGGAAGCCCTGGGTGCTACAGAAGTACAAAGAAGGGGTCCCTAATACACATTTCCAAGATCAAGAAAATGTGTCAGTCAAGTGAAAAACTCACTTGGCAACTTTGCTTTTTGCAGAATATACATGTTTATTTAATGAATGCTTGTTGGATTTTCAAAGACAAACAGGCTATTTACACCATGTAGATGCAGACTGACCTGAAGCTCCACAAGCTGAGGGAGTGGGAGCTTTATTTTTGATGAGAGTTCGTGATGCAGATATTGCCACTTATCTCCATTTTGGCCCTGGGGTGACAAGATTGAGTCTGGAACGTCATTTTCGGGGCTGGATGCCTGGCTGCTTTTGAAGAAGAACAAAAGGTGAAGAGAATAATCAACACTAAAAATTTTGTATACATTCACAGTTCTACGAGCAATTTTTAAAAGAAACACTCTTAATTCTCCCAGTCATAAAACCACTGAATGTCCAACTCTATTTTTAAATGTTTTACCTTGCAGATGATTCCTGGGCTGTATCTTTATCACGTTGGCAATACTGGGGCCACATTTTCTTAGCATTAAATTCTATGAATTTGATGAAATCTTTCTGTTCCATTGGTTTTAACTCCAGAACCTGTAACTGAATGAGATTCCAATGGTCCAATCCATCAAGTTTTTCAATTAGTACCCTATAGTTTCCTCTGCTGAGATAAATCTAATTTTGAGTCAGTTCCTAAATCATTAATTACTATGTCTCTTTCTTGCATCGCTGTTCTTGTAAACTCTCACTTCCCAAAAACCCATTTAAAATATTCACACAATAGCTGTTATTTAAACTGCATACATGGAAAATCATCAAAGACATACAAACTTTTTTTTTTTTTTTTTTGAGACGGAGTCTCGCTCTGTCGCCCAGACTGGAGTGCAGTGGCACAATCTCGGCTCACTGCAAGCTCCGCCTCTCAGGTTCAGGCCATTCTACTGGCTCAGCCTCCGAGTAGCTGGGACCACAGGCGCCCGCCATCACACCCAGCTAATTTTTTGTATTTTTAGTAGAGACGGGGTTTCACTGTGTTAGCCAGGATGGTCTCGATCTCCTGACCTCGTGATCCGCCCACCTCGGCCTCCCAAAGTGCTGGGATTACAGGCATGAGCCACACGCCCGGCCACAAACACATTTTGAAAACACAGGCAAAGCAGAGCTGCAACTACAGAAGTTCACCCTGAAGACAGTTGATATAAGATGCAAGTTGATATAAGATGCAAGTTAATAAAGGAGCAAAGTTATGGTGTCCCCAATGTTAGCAGCTGAAAGCAAAGCAGGTGCCATGGTAAATGCTGAAAACTCCCAGAGTTTCTGCACACACACACAAACACCCACATGCCACACTTTGCAGAAATTCCATATAGAAAGCTTTTTTTTTTTTTTTTTTCTGGAGACAAGTCTCATGCTGTCACCCCAGGCTGGAGTACAGTGGTGTGATCTCAGCTCATTGCAACCTCTGCCTCCTGGATTCAAGTGATTCTTGTGCCTCAGCCTCCCGAGTAGCTGGGATTATAGGCACGCACCACCACGTGGCTCATTTTTTTGTATTTTTAGTAGAGATAGGGTTTCACCATATTGTCCAGGCTGGTTTTGAACTCCTGACCTCAAATCATCCATCTGCCTCAGCCTCCCAAAGTGCTGGGATTACAGGCATGAGCGACTGTGTCTGGGTTTTTTTTTTGGAAACAGGGTCTCACTATGTTGCCCAGGCTGGTCTCCAACACCTGGCCACAGGTGATCCTACCACCTCAGCCTCCCAAGTAGCTAGGACTGTAGGTTTGCACCACCTTGCCTGGTTAAAAAGTTATATTCTTATCCCTACAACTGTTGGGGGCTAGAATTACCTGTTGCTGCTGGAAATCTTTTTGTCTGCTGAATAGTGGCCTTTCAGTTACAATGGATTCCAATGCAGAAAGGTTAACTGGTTGGAGAGCTTTTGGATGCTCTGGCTCTGAGGATTTCTTTAGAATGGTAGGATGCTGCAAAATATTTCATAATGGCAGGCTATTTATTTTTAAAAACAAACTCCCCTTTATCTCAATTCCAATAATGGGACCACATAGAAAAATTTTATATGAAATATATGATGGTATTTTGTTATTTGCTATAATTATATACTATAATTTTTTGCTTTTTGAGATGGAGTTTCGCACTTGTTGCCCAGGCTGGAGTGCAAGGGTGTGATCTTGGCTCACTGCAACCTCCGCCTCTCGGGTTCAAGGGATTCTCCTGCCTCAGCCTCCCAAGTAGCTGTGATTGCAGGTGTGCCCACCACACCCAGCTAATTTTTGTATTTTTAGTAGAGACAGGGTTTCACCATGTTGGCCAGACTGGTCTCAAACTCCTGACCTCAGGTGATCTGCCTGCCTCATTCTCCCAAAGTGCTGGGATTACAGGAGTGAGCCACCACGCCCAGCCTACTATGATTTAATGTACTTATTTCATAACAACTTCAAAAACTACTACATTTGGTGAAGTGATCATCTTACTTCTTCAAGCTAATTCATACAATGAATTACTAAAAGCAAGAAAATGTATTGCCTTTTTTCTTAAGAACAAATACCAAATAAAAAAGTATCAAAAAGAGAAACAGTATTATAAATCCAAATTTCCCTTATGGCTAAAATACATTTTTTTAAAAAGAGAGAACATATGAGGATGAAAGGGGAACCACATAGCCTATGTATATGCAGCCAGTCTTATTTCTGTGAACATAAATCTCATAAGTAGGAACCACTCATAAGCACACGCAAATCTTATATAGTAAGATCTACTCATAAGATGCACATTTGCATTTATAAACACTGAGTGCTTTTAAAAATCATGAGAACACTTTAGCTATATGATACTTTGATTAGTATATATAAATATTTGCAAATCAATAACAAAGTATCCTGGAAAGAGGTTTATGTTTCTGATGTCAAATTTTAGTCACATCTATGAAAGCTTTGTTTTCCAGTCAATTAGAGTCACAACATTCCTTTATAATACATCCTTCTTTTATGAAGAAGCCTTACACTAGGCTTCACTGCCAGCAAGAACACTCAGCCACATTAAACCAACACAAACCAAACCACCACCATCATCAACAACAACCTAGACAGGAAAACTGCAAACTAGAATGAAATAAAAATAACAAGCCAGTGTACTCATCTACAGTGTTAATGTGTGGAATTCTTTCACACTTAGTACAGTTTCTCTGTAGCTGGTTCATCACTTCCAACCAGAGTTCTCTTCTGGCGGGTCTGCCACGTATATCAAGACGTATATCAAGATGAATCAAGTCTATAGATAGTCATTTTTTACCTGATCTTCACTGTGCTTCTCCTGAAGCATCATCTGGACTTTTTCTAAATTGCACTTCACTGTTTTCAGTTTCAGCGAAAGCGCTTCAGCCTCATGTTGAGTGGCTCCATTATCTCCCAGGCCCCGATCTTTGCAAGTCTCTAACAGAAAGGCAACCTTGTGCTCAATCTCTGTTAGCATAGCCTAGGAAATAAAAGCATTTAATTATTCATAGTGTTGTTCTTGAAGAAGTGTTCTTCTCGCAAACAAGTTAAGACTTACTCTTTTTACCTAAGTGTGTACAAGAAGCCCCAGAAACACAGGATGGAAGAAACCCTGGAAAAACAAAAACTTCCACAGAATTCTTGTGCTTTTCAGCAGGGATGCAACCAAACCAATCCCAATTACACATATCACTCTGTAAAATAATTTAAGTAAATGACTCTATAGTCACCTCACAAAACACATCAGAACATATCCAGCAGAGGATGGTGGTTAAGAACACAGATCTTGGAACCAGACTATCCGGTTTCAGATCCCAGTCCTGTGACTTAGTAGATGTGTAAGCATAGGCACCTTACTTTAGAGGCGTGTGCCTCTAGTAGTCCGTAAAATGAAGATAATAACCGAACTTACCTCCTAGGGTCATTATGAGGAGTGAATGAATTAAATCCATGTACTTTGGCCAGTGCTTGATACCAATCTGTGCTTAAAAAGTGCTGATGTTCTTACTTTCCCCCTACCTTCCTAATCCTTTTTTTTTTTTTTTTTTCCTGAGACGGAGTCTCACTCTGTCGCCCAGGATGGAGTGCAGTGGTGTGATCTTGGCTCACTGCAACCTCTGCCTCCCAGGTTCAAGTAATTCTCCTGCCTCAGCCTCCTGAGAAGCTGGGATTATAAGAGTATGCCACCATACCTGGCTACTTTTCATATTTTTAGTAGAGGTGGGGTTTCGCCATGTTGGTCAGGCTGGTCTCGAATTCCTGACCTCGTGATCTGCCCACTTAGGCCTCCCAAAGTGCTGGGATCACAGGCGTGAGCCACCACGCCTTGCCTACCTTCCTAATCTTTTATGTTGCAATCCAAGTGTGGAGTAGGAATTTAAAAAAGAACTCCATGTAACTGTCTGAAAATTATTTCCCTTGCTCTTTTCCTTCTCTTTCTCAAGCCAAATAAGCCTCCAAACTCTCAGAACACCACAGAAGAAATAATTTGGAACCTGAAATACTTAGTTATTGATACAACCAGCCAATTCACACAAATCTAAAAATACATCAGCTGGATGAAGTAAGTTTCCCAGTAAGTCTCGGTCATTGTATTCCTGCTCAACAGATCAAGTTTGCCCTCTCCTGGGGCTCAGCAGCCTGCTCGGTCATGCCAACTGGCTGGGCACTCAAGTCAGCAGCAACAGACAAACTCACATTCCAGCACCATGATCATTTGTACTAAAACTCGGTGCATGACTAAGAACAAGCTTCATTCACTGAGCGAATTTAAGGAATTACAAATTTTCCTTAAGGAAGAACTCTATTCTTAAAACAAAATTTCAAATAATTTATCTTATAACTCCTTCATCCAAGCAAGCTACAATAGGCCCCTTCATCCATGCTTTTACTTTTTGTGGTTTCAGTTACCTGCAGTCAATCATGGCTCAAAAATACTAAATGGAAAATTCCAGAAATAAATAATTCATACATTTTAAATTTTGTACCATCTGAGCAGCATGATAAAATTGCACACCATCCTGCTCCATCCCATCCAGGATGTGAATCATCCCTTTGTCCAGCATATCCACACTCTACCACTCTGCCCATTAGTTACTTAGAAGAGGTTGAGTATTCCTAATCTGAAAATCCAAAATCCCAAAATGCTCCAAAATCTGAAACTTTTTATGCACCATGCCAGAAATGGAAAATTCCACACCCAACCTCATGTGATGGGTCACAACTGAACTTTGTTTTGTGCATAAAATTATTAAAGTTATTATATAAAATACCTTCAGGGTATGTGTATGAGGTATAGATAAAATATAAATTGAGGGCTAGCATGGTGGCTCATACCTGTAATCCCAGCACTTTGGGAGGCTGAGGCAGGACGATCACTTGAGGCCAGGAGTTTGAGACCAGCCTGGGCAACACAGTGAGACCCCGAGTCTACAAAAAACAAAATTAGCCCGCCATGGTGGTGTACGCCTGTAGTCCCAGCTATTCCAGAGATTGGGGGCAGGAGGACTGCCTGAGCCCAGTGGTTCAAGGCTGCAGTGAGCCATGATCATGCGACTGCACTCCAGCCTGGGTAACAGAGCAAGACCCTGTTAACTCTAATATAAATAAAGACATTAATTTATTAATTTAGTGTTTAGACTTGGGTACTCTCTCCAAGGTATCTCATTATGTATATCTCTCTCCAAGGTATCTCTCCAAGGTATCTCATTATGTATATGCAAATATTCCAAAATCCCCCCTAAAAAACCCAAATGCAAAATACTTCTAGTTCCAAGCATTTTGGGATAAGGGATACTCAATCTGTAGCCATCTCAGTTGTCAGATTGAAAAAATATAATACACAGAGTTTGGTACTATCCGCAGTTTCAGGCATCCACTGGGGGACTTGTAACACCATCCCCAAAGATAAAGGTGGGACTACTCTACTTACATCCTCTATAGATTCTTCTAAGTTTAAACAATATGTACCCGTAGATTGTACAGTGGCTATAAGCAAAATGTAGCATAATTTTATGCTGTTTTTCCCACTTAACTATTTACATACTTTTTCATCTGTCTCCACATGTTTCATGATTTTCATTTTAACAGCTTCAAGTTGATATCCCATGATTCACTTACCAATTTCCCTCGTTACCCCTTTGTTTCTAGTTCTTCACTTTTGTAATCAAAGCTTCAGTAATTATTTTTCTCATTTTAGATCATTTTCAGAAGGTAAATTAAAAGTAATGGTACTGGCCAGGCATGGTGGCTCATGCCTGTAATCTCAGCACTTTGGGAGGCCAAGGCAGGTGGATCACCTAAGATCAGGAGTTCGAGATCACCCTGGTCAAAATGGGGAAACCCTGTTTCTACTAAAAATATAAAAATTAGCCAGGTGCTGTGGCGCATGCCTGTAATCCCAGCTACTTGGGAGGCTGAGGCAGGAGAATCACTTGAACCCAGGAGGCAGAAGTTGCAGTATGCCGAGATTGTGCCACTACACTCCAGCCTGGGCGAAAGCGAGACTTCGTCTCAAAAAAAAAAAAAAAAAAGTAATGGTACTTTTAGCTCAAAGAAGATGAATAGCTTATATGTTGACACCTGACCTCCCAAAACATTGAGCCAATTAGATAGAACTATCAGACATTAGAGGATCTATTTTTCCAGAATGATATAATTTTTTCTAATGTAATGTAGAAACAATAGGTGTTCTACTTTATGTCTTTAATAATCAAGATTAAATAATTCTCAAATATTAAATTACTAAGCATAATCCTCCCTCCCTCCCTTCTTTCCTTTCTCTCTTTCTTTTTTTGACAGTGTGTTACTCTCTCGCCCAGGCTGGAATGCAGTGGTGCAATCATAGTTCACTGCAGCCTTGAATTCTTGGACTTAAGAGAAACTCGTGCCTCAGCCTCCCAGGTAGCTGGGACTACAGACACACACCACCATGCCCAGCTAGTTTTTTTTTTTATTATTCATTTTTATTATTTTGTAGAGACGAGGTATAACTATGTTGCCCCGGCTGGTCTCAAACTCCTGGCTTCAAGCAACCCACCTGCCATGGCCTTCCAAAGTGCTGGGATTACAGGCATGAGCCACCACGCCTGGTCCATAATCTTGACTGAACTGTTTGCTCCTGTCCTTTGGCCATTTTTCCACTGGAATTTTGTGTTTTTACAGACCACTTTCAGGTTTTTATATGTTTCAATAATAACTTTATTGTGTCGTTTTATATAAAAGAGCCAAAGATGCCCTTGTATGTTGGCCCCACATGGTTTTTCTTCAAAGTACGTCAGAAGCAGTAAGTTCAAAATAGCGCCAGCACCAGACTCAAATTTTTACACTTTTGACGGCTTTAAATGCAGCCCAAATAAGTGTCTTTTAATCCATTTAGAGCCTGTCTGCTTTGTATACTGCTGGAAACTGCACCCAACATCTGCCAGCCATGGACAAGACTAACCCTGGGCTATACAACATTCCCAAGCCTCTGCTGCCCTTTGGTGCTTTCTGACCCAGAGACTCTCCACTGTGCTGAGACATTGCTAGACACATAAGTTCCCTCTCTGTTTCTCCTCTCCCCAGGGAGTTCCCTTGCCTTCCCCCGCCTCTGTGTGGTGGTCCGACCCCAGTCTATGTCTTCACCTCTGGAAGGTCTCCTGCAGTAAAGAGCTTCCCTGTCCCTCACGATCCTAATCCTGCCAAAATGCTGCCCAAATAAAGCTTGGTGGGGGCTACGGCCACCTGGTAGTCACGTCTTTTCCTTGAGCAGCCTGGAAATCCTTGAACTCACTACAAGTGGCAATGAAGATGGGATTCTGGTGACAATCAAGCAGTTGGCATAGGGTCTACCCAGTCAGTAGATAATCAGCTGGCAAATCAATCCTGAATGGCCTTAAGTGGGTGGGACTCAAAATCTGGACTGCCTCGAGTTGAGCTTAGCATAGCATTGCTCTGGGCTATATGACGCTCTATGGCATTCACAAGCTCCCCTGGGCCTCATCAGCCAGGCCAAGCGGCAGTGCCAGTATCTGAGTGAACCTATCCTTTTAGAACTGGCTTTTGGGCTGGGAATGATAGCTCACACCTGTAATCCAGCACTTTGGGTGGATCACTTGAGCCCAGGAGTTCGAGACCAGACTGGGCAATATAGTGAGACCTCTCATCTCTACAAAAAACCACAAAAAGCAGCCGGGTGTGGTGGTGCAGGGCTGTGGTCCCCGCTACCTGGGAGGCTGAGGTGGGAGGATCACCTGAGCCCAGGAAGTCGAGGCTGCAATGAGCTATGATTGCTCCACTGCACTCCAGCTTGGGCGACAGGGTGAGACCCTGAAAAAAAAAAAAGAACTGACTTTGGAGATCAGAGGTGCTGAGCTGCACAGAGAAGGAGGCTGGCCTGTCTGTCTGGGGATGTTGTAAGATTGTGGGCTTACATAGAAGGGGAGAATGCACACCTGTGGATCAAAGGCAGGCTACCCACAACAACATAACAGGCTACAGCAGAAAACACTCCCTGTGGCAGGGCTAGTGATATGGGTACTCTGAGACAAGAGGATGTCTTCATCCCTGGTAGACAAGCCCATATGGCAGAGACAAGGCTGGTTCCCTAAGTGCAGCTGGGAGACAGGTCTTTGCAAGCAGCTCGCATGCCCCTGCTCTTGTGACACTCGATTATGCTGTTGCAATGTCATCATTCTAGCCTCTCCCTGGAGGGATTAGAAACCCCAACCTTTGGGCTGAGACAGCAAGCTTTACTCAGAGTGACTGGCGGCAAGGAAGTTTATATCCCTGCCCCTCCCAAGCAAAACCCAGGGCATTCCTAGTAAAATGGCCGCAAAGATTGCAAATCAAAACTTTTGGTTTCATTTCTGATGAATGAATATTCTAATTACTTATTAAAATCAATAAAATAATAGCATTTACTGAGTACTTGTTATATACTTTATATACCTTATTTAATCCTGACAAAAATTCTATGAGATAACTTTATATCCTATGACACTGTTTTAAATACCTTATTTAAATCCTATGACACTACTTTAAATACCTTATTTAATCCTGACAAAAATCCTATGAGATAACCTACTATATAAGGAAAATGAGGCTGAGAAGTTCACTTCTCGAAATTCACAGTTAATGTGACAGAGCTGGATCAGACTCTAGATTCTGAACTCTAACCCACTACTGTCCCCTCAAATAAGATGTTTCCATAAAGCATTTCAAAGAATTACCCTGAGAACTAAAAGTTGAGGCCAAGATAAATGCAAGGGTCAGAGTAACAGAAAGAAAAACAGTGTCGCTTTAAGAGAAATTCACCCAATCTTGGCAGATGATTGGTGGAGAGGCAAACCATGAACTCTGACTTCTCAGTCTTACCTGGCACCCTACCAGCTGCTGTTCCACCACCTGCTGCATGTCTGCGTTTAATGTTTCCGGCTCAAATGCCACGTTGGCTTGTTGCAGCCACAGCTCCAGCTCAGCCACCTGGGTCTTGCAGGCATGCAGGACTTCTGCGGGCTCCGGCCTAGTTTTCTCCACCCTGGGCTCCAAACCTCCTTGCGCGTCAGAAGAGTCCAGAGCCTCGATAGGAGGTGTGGTGCCCTAAGAGAAATCCAAAGATAAGCCAGGGAGTCCAAAGTTTTCAGAATTGGGCCTATGAAGACCTGGGAGCCTGCAACATTTCCCCAGTTAAAAGAAATAAAATCAGGACAGAAGAAGGAAGAAAGAAAAGAAAAATGCACCTCCACACGCATAGCAACAATCACGTGACCTGGTGCCACAGGTTTCCAAGCAGCCGATCTGCGAGTACACAGGTACAGTATTCCCGGGCACAGAGGACGCAAACAGGCTCACAGTTCACTACCCGGTGAGCCCCAGGAGACAGGTGAGAATGTGAGTGACAGGGGGTGTGTGTGTCTGAAACATTTAAGGGAATTGGCCAGTGTTTAGCATTACGTGACACATGATTAAGCAATGCTTACATTGCTGCACACTCTATTCAAACAGAAAAACAAAACAAAACAGAACACGATCTTTACATCCCAGCAGGGATACAATAAAATATACCACATAATTTTAACTTAACATCTTCTCAAATAGTTAGATTATAAAAATTTTAGCTTAACTTTTCCCTAATAAAAACAACTTGAGTCAAGTAATGAACTTCAGTAGAGTAACCTGGTAACTGTTTTCCTATTCCTCAGAGGGAATCCCCACAATACTTTCCCCTTCTGCATACTCAAATATGACTGAGTTAAGGACTAGATGCTCATAGTATAAAGAAAGTGTGGTGTGTTCTTTTTACATTGAAATAACTGGGCTGTTTATCAACTCAATAGAAAATTGTCTCCCAGATACCAAATGAAAGTATTCCAGTAATTATATATTAGGTATGTTCAACCTGGAGGCAAAAGACAATTTGATACAGAGATGTATTTACCTCCCACTGTATTATCTATCCTTCCCCAGAATATGGAAAGAGTAACATTGACACTTCTAGAGAAATTCCTTTAGGAATAAGGATTTGTGTTTTGCTGTGTAAACTTTTTGGTCTCAATAAATATTTTATTGATTATGATAAGATATTATGTTTTCTATAACATTATATGTTAGCATGTTAACATGTTAATAAAATGAAATTCTGGCCAAGTGATGACCTTTGAATGGGAGTTGATTGCAAATGTATACCCTAACTCAAATGCACATTCCCCAATGTTTATGGAATTTTGTTTAGACATAGAACTTTCAGTGTAAAAGAGTGAACAAAATTGGTAGGTGGTGACAAACACGTGCCGGGCATGAGAATCCTGTTCCTTTTCATGCACACTGATGAGTATTACGAAAGCTGGTCTGGCACAAGTGTCTCTGGGTTGTACTTTTTACCTTGCACCATCTATTATCTTCACATACATTTGCTGTTTTCTGCCAAAATGCCATTTCTTCCCTGCCTTCATTAATCTATTATTATAATTTTCTTCAAGAATCACCTTCTCAAGGAAACTTTTCCTTGCATTGTACTTTTTCTGAACTTCATATATAGTCAGGTCTGTGCTTGGATTCACCTGTTTTAATTTTCTTTTTTTTAATCCTGACTTTTTTTTCCCCCTCTTGAGACAGAGTCTCCCTCTGTCACCTAGGCTGGAGTGCAGTGGCATGTTCTCGGCTCACTGCAACCTCCGCCTCCCAAGTTCAAGTGATTCTCCTGTCTTGGCCTCCCAAGGAACTGGGATTACGAGAACACACCACCATACCTGGCTAATTTTGTACTTTTAGTAGAGGCAGGGTTTTGTCATGTTGGCCAGGCTGGTCTTGAACTCCTGGCCTCAAGTGATCCACCTGCCTAGACCTCCCAAAGTGCTGGGATTACAGGCATAAGCCACAGTGCCTGGCCCTGATTTTTTTTTTTTTTTAAAGCAACAGTTGTGTGATTTTGCTTCCAGACATCATTTTCTAGTCATCTGATTAATTCCCTTCTAGTTTTCAGATATTGCTATAGACAAAGATTTTGGGATCCCCTTTCCTTTTTCTGCCACTTGAGAAAACAATCTTTTAATATTAATTAATCTAAGACAATCTATTAATATTAATTAATCTGTAATCATAGATTTACCACCTGCCTTTATTATTTATTCAAAAATTTTATTTGAGCACCTGTTATATGCCACACACCTTTTTTTTTTTTTTTTTTTTTTTGACATGGGGTCTTGCCATGTTGCCCAAGCGGGTCTCTAACTTCTGGGCTCAGGTGATCCTCCGGCTGTGGCCTCTCAAAGTGCTGGGATTACAGACATTAGTCACCAAACCCGGCCCTCCACACGCTTTTTTTAATGACACTATTGAGTTTCTCTGCTTTCTCATGAACTCACCAAATTAATGAGGAAATAAGGAAGCTGCATGACTAATCTGGGTTTTATTTTTTAGTTATCTGAACCTGAAAAGAATCCAAAGGGGAAGAGAAGAAAAAAAGAATATTTTCAACCATAGAGCTTCAAGAGCTGAGGGTGGCCTAAGGAACCCACTAGAGATCAGTTCACTCACCTCTTTTTAAAGTCTAAGAAACCCAAGTGCACAGAACGTTTAATCAGCCCACATGCCTCCCTTTTTACCATGTTGCTTCTGAGAAGCACCCAAGTTACTTACCCAAGGTCACACAGTTCTGTGATCTTTTAATTCAGAGTTCCCTGGTTTTTTACACAGTAGCACCCCTGTAAAATACCTTCTCTATATGATAGCCCCAAATTCTAAAAGCAAAACTTATTTAAATGGATGTTTTATCATTGTACACCTTCTAGGGGGGAGCTAAAAAGTATTACTACAAGTATTTCTTACTAAATATGTCATCTCTAAAGCATAACTGCAAATTAATAATAGCTAGCCTTTATTGGGCTCTTAACACAAGCAGGCACTGGGTTAAGCATGATACACAGACCACCACCTTATTTCAAAACTAAAACCTATTATTACTTCTAGTGTACAGATGAGGAAACTGGGCTTAGGGAAGCTATTTAAACTGCCTCCTAGTTGTATGGTCACACAACTAGTAAATAGAATCAAAAGCAATCCCTGCTTTCACTACACTTTGGAATCTACAATTCCACATTCTTGACATAATTTCACCAACCTTTTAGTATCCAAGTTAACTTTTCAGTTGGTGAATCACATTGCTTCATTTCTGCATCAACACATCACTGATCTAAATAATCAGTGAAGTAATCAGTTAAAATAAAAAAAACTGCAGTTAAAATGCATGTTGATTTTCTGGCTATTGCCACATTTCATGCCAAAATAGCAAACCTTTACATTTTCTCCTTAATATTTCAGTCAATTCTACAAATACCTGCATATCTCCCCCACTGCTTATGAAATGTAAAACTGAGTACCTAAAGTACAATACCTAACTGCACGTGAATAAATGCAAAGCATGCCCCTGGAATGCCATGGTGGCGGTTTACTCTGAGGTCATGCCTAGCTTGATTTCACATTTTTCTGTACTAAATATTTATCCTTGGTTGTAATACGGGTCAAGAATGACTCACAATTTTACTAAAAATTATGTAATTACCATTCGGTCCATACACTTAACCCCTGAAACCAAAGGTTTGTTGAGGCTGATAGAAGGCTGATGACATTGGCTGCCTGGTCTCTGCAGAGTCCCCACTTTCCCTCTCTTCAGTGATGTGCTGTGCCGATGAGACAGAAATGACTAAAAGGCAGGAAGACAGTCACCAAGAGGTATGCAACTTGGAGCCAGTAAAGGAGTCCCTGAATAATCAGAAGTGGACAAATTCCTCCTGTAGTAAAGGGTAACATCTATTTTTCCTGCCCCAAGAATTCCTCCCCAGCGAAAGTTCTGAGTTAAGAAGAAAATACAAATACACACATACATAAATTAGTTTAAAAGAGAGTCACTGGAGCCTAATAGTTCAAAGCTCAGGTTCTAAACTCAGAGTCAGAAAGATCTGGGTTTGAATCCTAGCTTTGCCACTTACTAGCTAAATGACCTTGGGCATCTTACTTCTCTGAGCCTCAGTTTCTCTATCTGTAAAGTGGGGTAACAGTAATATTTATCTCATAGAGCTGTTGTTAATGATTAAAAGAGACGATATATGTAAAATCCCAGTACCTGGCCCATATTAAATGTTCAGTAAGTATTTTGTTAACCTCCTTTTTCTTCCTCCTTCTCTTTATTGTCATCATTATCTAGTATCCACATGGTCAGGGAAAAGACCCTAGACATCATCCACACCAGCAGAAAGAATATTAAGCAGAATGGCTACTGTAGCTAAAACACCATTGAAGCTACATCTGATTTTTAATTAGGTGTCAAAAATAACATTATGGTGGGAAGATGATTTGAGACCAGGAGTTCGAGACCAGCCTGGGCAACACGGCAGAACTGTGTGTCTGAAAAAAATACAAAAATTAGCCAGGCGTGATGGTGTGTACCTGTGGTCCTAGCCACCCGGAAGGCTAAGGTGGGAGGATCACCTGAGCCCAGGAGGTTGAGGCTCCAGTGAGCCATGATTGTGGTCACTATACTCCAGCCTGGATGAAGAGTGAGACCATGTCTCAAAAACAAAACAAAACCCAGATTAATTCTGAACAGCAAAAAAACCTACTGACCAGGTCAGCAACTTTCTTAGCATTGCCACTGGGTGTAAACCTCTCACATTTGTCCACCTTCCTAGACATATATTGTTAAGAGAGACAGAGAATGAAACGGAGGAGGGAAAGAAAGAAGAGAAAGGAGTAACAATTTGAGAACTAAGAGATATTTTTGAAGACTAGACAAAAGATTGGGAGAAAAAAACATAAATACAACTCGGTATAAAAGAAGAGATGCAATAATTAAACAATAAAAACAGCAAAAACATGCCAATATCTTTTACAGGAGCTATTTGGTGAGACCCATGGAGCTTTAGGTCCAGCTAAACACCAAAATTAACTTGAGAAATAGTACCCATCCCCCCACACCCCACTGTAAGACGTTCTTGAGAACCACTGAGGTACAAGATTCCAAATTAGGAAGCCAGATTAGAATATTCTGGGTTTGATTCCTTATTCCCCCATTCACTAGCCATATATATATATATATATAATATAAATAAATAAATAAATAAATAAATAAATAAATAAATAAATATATTTTTTAAAGACAGAGTCTTGCTCAATCGCCCAGGCAGGCTGGAGTACAGTGGCGCAATCTTGGCTCACTGTAACCTCCTCCTCCCAGATTCAAGCGATTCTCATGCCTCAGCCTCTTGAGTAGTTGGGATTACAGGCACGTGCCACCACGCCCGGCTAATTTTTTTATTTTTAGTAGCGACGGGGTTTCACCATGTTGGTCAGGCTGGTCTCAAACTCCTGACCTCAGGCGATTCGCCCGCCTCGGCCTCCCAAAGTGCTGGGATTACAGGCTTGAGCCACCACGCCTGGCCCACTAGCTATATTTTTATTCCCTGAATTTTGATTTCTTAATTTGTAAACATACGGTAGGGATGAACCTACCTTATACAGTCTGAGGGTTAAACGGATGACTATAAATGCCTTTTATGTAACAGGCTATTAATCAATACCTTCTCTACTTTCTTTGCCCCCATAAGTTCTACCTACAGATTAAAGAAGTAGTCATCAACGGAAAGACTATTTTATGTTCACAAATGGTAAATTAGTGAAAAACGTCTAATTCTCTATGCCATGTCTATTTTCTTTGTAAATATCTGATGACAAGTCTTCCAGTTCTACAGCTTGATAGCACATACCTTCATATGTTAAAGTTCACAAGGAACACTTGGCTTGATGTACAAGGTATTGCAGGACACAGAACACTGGTCATCTCTAGGTGCTAGTCCAGCTATCTGAGCAGCTTACTTATTACCAACCAGGACTTACCTCTTCTGTTTGGTTGGGCTTTAGGGAACGTTCTGGGCCTTGCTCAGTATTTAGTGAGTCTGGTGTGAGGATCTGTGCCATGGAATTATCACAGATGCTTATTTTCCCATATGCTTCCTGTAAAGAAAAGAATCAGAGCTCCAGAAAAGGTCCTGCCCTGGTGCCACATGAGTTCTTCCTTCTGTGCCTGCTCATTTAACAAACTACTTGCTTGCAAAAAAAGTCAGGTACAATTAGAAAAAAGTTTGTTCATTAGAGAAAAAATCAGCTTCCCCAAGACTGTCTTTATTTGAAAGACTTACATTCTCCAAACTTCTCTTCTTAATGAGCACATAAAGAATCTAGAGAATTAGGTACTTAAGTAGATTTTTCCAGAAGTATGCTTTGTCTCGTTGAATAATTTTTTAAAAGTATGTCCTTATGAAAATTTAAATTACATGGCCAGGTGTGATGTCTCACACCTACAATCCCAGCACTTTGGAAGGCCAAGGCAGGAGAATTGCTTGTGCTCAGGAGTTTGAGACCAGCCTGAGCAACACGGTAAGATCCTGTCTCTACCGAAATAAACAAACAAACAAACAAACAAACACTTAATTATATGATAAAGGTCACATTTCAAATAGTGGGGAAAAGGTGAATTTATTCCATTTAGGAACAACTACGAAGGCATTTGATGAAAAATATAAGTAGAATTATTGTATTACTCCTAACAATAAATTCTAGTTATGAAAAATATAACTAGAATCCTTGTATTACCCCAACAATAAATTCTCATTGTATTCTCCAAGTTATACCATAAAAATTCTAGGTGTGGGGAAACATGACAAGAAAGGAAAATAATATTAGTATTGACTACATAAAAAAAAATAATATGCACCACAAAAGATACCATAATCTAAGTTAAAGAGAAATAACAAACTGGGATAACTATTATACATAGTATTAATATTCTTTTTTTCTTTTTTGTTTTTTGAGATGGAGTCTCGCTCTGTCGCCCAGGCTGGAATGCAGTGGCTTTATCTCGGCTTTATGCAAGCTCCGCCTCCCGGGTTCACACCATTCTCCTACCTCGGCCTCCCGAGTAGCTGGGACTACAGGTGCCCGCCACCACACCCGGCTAATTTTTTGTATTTTTAGTAGAGACGGGGTTTCACCATGTTAGCCAGGATGGTCTCGATCTCCTAACCTCGTGATCCGCCCACCTCAGCCTCCCAAAGTGCTGGGATTACAGGCGTAAGCCACTGCGCCTGGCCAATATTCTTAATATATTAATTACTCTTATAAATAATAAGGAAAACATCAACCCTTACATAGAAAAACAGTCAAATGGTAGGAACAAGCAAGTCGCAAAAGAAGAGTTACAAAAGCCAATAGGCATCTAAAGACGTATTCAATATTCTTAGAGCATAAATTAATTTAAACCATTGGCTAAGTTTGGCTAAGACTGACAATATCAAAAATCAGCTTAGGAGCCAGGAAATGCAATTCCATGTATACCTAGCAGAAACAGAATTGGTACAGCCTTTCTTTTTTTCTTTTTTCTTTTTTTTTTTGAGACAGGTCCTCACTTTGTCATCCAGGTTGCGGTGTAGTGGCGCAATCTTAGCTCACTGCAGCCTTCATCTCCCAGGCTCAAGTGACCCTCCCGCCTCAGTCTCTGGGACTATAGGCACCCGCCACTGCGCCTGGCTAATTTTTATATTTTTTTTACAAAGACAGGGTTTCACTATGTTGCCCAGGCTGGTCTTGAAGTCCTGAGCTCAAGCTGTCCACCCACCACAGCCTCCCAAGGTGCTAGGATTACAGGCATGAGACACTGTGCCTAGCTTGGTATAAACTTTCTAGAAGGCAGTTTGAAAATGTGTGTCACATTTTAAATGGATATATACTCTGATTCAGCAAGCCTTCTTTTAAGGTTAACCAAAGTTAAGCAATGGGAAAATGACATGTACACAAAGAATTAACACAACGTGGGAGAAAGCATGTGGATATTATAATCAACCAACCTTGACTGCTCTACCTGCAAGTTGTGTGATCTCGGACAAATTAACCTGAACTCTCTGAACCTCAGTTACTTCACCTTTAAAATGGGAATAAAAACTATCTCACCCACGCTTGCAATTTAGTCACATATACATGGCATTTAGCATTTCCTAACAAAACATTAGTGTCTTTTCAGCTTCTTCTACTGAAAACAGTAACTGTTATCAGAAAGGTATAAACCAAGAACTAAAGGTAGAGATTAGATAAAATCAGAAAGGTAGGTAGGGATCAGGAAAATCTGGAATGCCAGGATAAGTTTGCATTTTCTTCAGTAGATAATCAGACTCCATGAAGAATTTAAAGCTGAGGTTTAGCATGATTGGTTTTAGGAAAAGTCATCAGTATTTTATAAGATGTATTAGGAAAAACAATTGGAAATTGTAAACCAATTAGAGGGCTACTCCAAAAGTCCAGGGAAGTAATAAGAATTGCTTGAAATAAGACGATAGCAAAAATAATGGGAGGAGAGGTGAATGGACATCATTGGCCACTGACAGGATGTGAAAGGTGAGAGAAATGAGGCACCTAATAGAACTCCAAAGTTTATCTCTGAGAAAATAATGGCACTATCAGCAGACATTGAGAAATTAGTAAGAGGAGCAAGCTTTGAAGGAAAGTTGGTAAAATGGGTTTGAGTTGGAGAAACTCCATCCCAAAAACGTCTATCAGGAGGATAGAAACGTAGAATAGATTTATAGATTTAAGGGAAAAGCCAAGACTAGAGATTTAGTTTGGTAATCACTGGCATAGAGGTGACCACAAAGCTCTCAGAGGAAATAAAATTGCCCTGAAAGAAAACAGAGAGGCTGGGCGCAGTGGCTCACACCTGTAATCCCAGCATTTTGGGAGGCCAAGGAGGGTGGATCATCTGAGGTCAAGAGTTCAAGATCAGCCTGGCCAACATGGCAAAACTCTGTCTCTACTAAAAATAAAAAAATTAGCCAGGCATGGTGGCAGGTGCCTGTAATCCCAGCTGCTCGAGAGGCTGAAGCAGGAGAATCGCTTGAACCCAGGAGGCAGAGGTTGCAGTGAGCTGAGATCGCACCACTGCACTCCAGCCTGGGCGACACATCGAGACTCCGTCTCAAAAAAAAAGAAAACAGGGAGAAGGAAGAAGGCAGAACATTGGGGGAATGCCTAGCATCACAAACGAAAGAGAAAGAGGGGCAAGAAAAGGAGATGGAGGAGGGACTAGAGGTAGAAGGGAGAGGGAAGAACAGAATTAAGAAAGTTAAAGGAACACCACAGTTAAAGAAGGAAGAGGTGGTCAATCCCAGAGAGGTCAACAAGGATTAGGACTAATAAAAGAGCGCTAAATTGGTGCTCCAGAAATCAATGGCAGTTTAAGCACAGCCAGAGGCTGAAACAAGGTTACAAAAGGGGCCTAGGGAGTGGAGCACCAAGGAAAGACCTTCAGTAGCAAATGAAAGAGGAAGTGTAGTAATTAACATGGGAAGCAGGATCAAGAAATTCAGTTCATTAAAGTACCATACTGAGCTGAGTATAGGATATAAATGATAAGCTTCTTTCCACTCATGAAATCGTATCAGATGTATTCATAAAAATGTGCTAAGTCACAATTGAGGTTCAGAATCCTATTGGAAAACAGGGAAAGAGACAGCAATTTTCCTTGCAGGATGTCAGGAGGTTTCTTGGAGCAGGGGAAGTTGAGATGGGTCTTTGTGGACGGGAATGAAGTCTACAGCCAGGCATGGAGAAAGGGCATCCCAGGGACCAAAGCCTTCTGTGGAGCCACTGAAGATGCAGGCTGGTTCTGGAACTCTCTCTCTGTTTGAAGTAGTGGGGCCACAAGGAAGAGAACATGTTAGGGAGGGGAAGCCTGAGTACTGAGGTAGAGAAGGAAGGAACCTAGCCAGAGGCAGAGACTGACAAGGCTGGTACAGGCAGAGAATGGTGCCAACGATTAGGGAAAGAGTTGGCATGAGAGCGGGGCGGGGGTCAGCCCTGGACAGGAGGCAGGAGCGAGAGGTGTATGGATCACGAGGATGCAGAGATCTTCCGGGAGCAAAGGAAGAACGTGGTTCATAGGCTTACGATGATTTTCTAAAGTGAGGGCATTTGAGAGATTGGAAAATATTTAGAATGTCATAAGGAGTAAAAAAGACTTAGCATATCTAATTTATCTTACATACTACTTTGTTCCACACACACAAAAAAAGATTATGGAGAGACCCTCCACCCAATACTCCCCAAAGAGCGGCATGTTAATTTAAATGCTTGGGTAAAACAGTGCAGTGAAGCTTTTAGCTGCTCCTTTGAGTTATCTGTTTGGTCAGTTTGGATTTTCACATATATGGAGTTTTCTTCAAAAAAAATACTCTCCTGTTATCACTGAGTACACAATAGAAATAGAACCAAGCAGGGGCTCACTAAGGCTGTCTTTGCGTTTGTTCAAAGGTGATGTCAGAAGCTTTCAAAGATTCACGGTAGCCAAGAGAGAGAAGCAACCTAAGTGTCCATCAACTGATGAATGGAGAAAGAACGCATGGCATATATATACAACGGAGTACTATCCAGTCTTCAAAATGAAGGAGATTCCATCATTTGTGACAATATGGATAAACCTAAAGACATTATGTTAAGTGAAATAAGCCAGGCACAGAATGATAAATACCGGATGATCTCATTTACATGTGTAATCTAAAAATACGGACTGCATAGAAGCAGAGAATAGGGTGGTGGTTACCAGGGCTGTTGGGGTGGAGGGTGGGGGCTGAGAGAGGGCCTGGGGAAACGTTGGTCAAAGGATACAAAATTTTAGTTGAACAGGAGGAATAAATTCAAGAGAATCTATGTATAACTTGGCAATTATAGTTAATAATAATATATACTTAAAAGTTGCTAAGTGACTAGATTTTAGGTATTCTAATTACTGAAAATATGACAAATATGTGAGGTAAAGCATATGTTAATTAGCTTGATATAGCCATTTCCAATGTATACACATTAAAAACATGTTGTATATCATAAATATATACAATTGTTGTCAGCTAAAAAAAAAAAAAAAAAAAATTCAGCCCATTGCAGGTTCCCTCCCTAAGCATTCCTTTAAACAAGATAGTTCTTTACTACCCTTATTTTTATTCCTTGTCTGAGCTACAAATGGGCATTTTAAAGGTTTAGGCAGTGCTGACTGAAAAACAAACAAAGTAAAGGGGAAAGAGAGGAAGCAAAGTTAACATAGAAAGTCGGGCAACATGGTGAAACCCCATCTCTACTAAAAATACAAAAAATCAGCTGGGCGTGTTGACGTGTGCCTGTAATCCCAGCTACTTGGGAGGCTGAAGCAGGAGAATTGCTTGAACCTAGGAGGCAGAGGTTGCAGTGAACTGAGATCATGCCACTGCACTCCAGCCTGGGCAACAGAGCAAGACTCCGTCTCCGGGGTGTGGGGGAAAGAAAGTCATGCAAAAATAGATCTCTGCTCCCCTCTACCCTCATAACCCCTAAGTGTGGTTGATATGCCCAGCATTACCTGAACAATTGTTCCAGAGGATGAGGAAGCTCTGTCTTCTTCCATGTCCTTGTCATGCTTCCAAAGTGAAGACCAAGACTGAGGAGATGGCTCTGCCTTCTCATCTCCATTCTATCACAGTAATCGATTGGTTAGCAAAGGGAAGAGCTTCTCTTCCTGTCATAACCGGCGCCCTACTCACTCACCTCCTTTATACCAGACTCAACTTATCAGGCGGTGTAACCACAGCCCTTTATTGCAGCCCTCCCCCATTTTTTTAATCTGTATTTTTTGCTAACTATATCATGTTTACAAATGTAGCTGCTCTCCCTAAAGCCTAGAACATACTTTTAAAAGTAGGGGCTCGGCTCATATCACACAAAGGAAATCTTTAAAACTGTGCTTTTAGGAACTTAATCTGCTTTGATCGATGTAACGTTAAATGGTATCTTTGAGGCCACGTACTGTGACTCACACCCGTAATCCCAGCACTTTGGGAGGCTGAAGTGCAAGGATCACTTGAGGCCAGGAGTTGGAGGTTGCAGTGAGCACCACTACACTCTAGTCTGGGCAACAGAGTGAGATGCTGTCTCTAAATAAATATTTAAAAATACGTAACAGTTAGAAAAATTAAAATGCTGTCTTTAAAATTACAGCCTCAAGGGTATAAGAAAAAATGTTCAACATCACTAAACACCAGGGAAATGCAAATTAAAACCACAGTGAGATACTACTTTATACCTGTTAGAATGGCTTATATCAAAAAGATAAAAAAATAACAAGTGGTCATGAGGATGTGGAGAAAATAGAACCCCTGAATACTGTCGGTGGGAATGTAAATTGGTACAGTATCGAGGTTCCTCAAAAAATTAAAAATAGAACCAGCAATCCCACTACTGAGTATATATCCAAAGGAAAAAACTCAGTATGTCAAAGAAACGTCTGCACTCCCATGTTCAATGCAACATTGTTCACAACAACCAAGATACGGAATTAACCTAAGTGTCCACCAACAAAAGAACGGATAAAGAAAATGTGGTTATATATACATAGTGAAATACTATTTGGCCTTAAAAAATAAGGAAATTCTGTCATTTGCAACAACATGGGTAAATTTAGAGGATCTTCTGTTAAATGAAATAATCCAGGCACAGAAGGACACATACCACATCATCTCCCTTCTATGTGGAATGTAAAAAAAAAAAAAAAACAACAACTCATAGAAGCAGAGAATAAAACAATGGTTACCAGCGACCAGGGATTACAAAAATGTTTGTCAACGGGCATTAAAAAAAAGGGCACAGGAGGAATAAGTTCAAGGGATCTTTTGTATATCATGGTGACTGTAGTTAATATATGTTTGAAAATCACAAAGAGTGTAGATTTTAAGTGTTCTCATTATCAAAAAAAAAGGTATGTGAGGTAATGTGTATGTTAATTAGCTCAATTTAGCCATTCCACAATGCATATATACATATACTGTATCAAAACATCATACATATCATAAATATATATAATTTTTTTTTGAGACCGAGTTTTGCTCTTGTCACCCAGGCTGGAGTGCAATGGCATCATCTTGGCTCACTGCAACCTCTGCCTCCTGGGTTCAAGTGATTCTCCTGCCTCCGCCTCCCGAGTAGGGGGAACTGTAGGCGCGTGCCACCACACCCGGCAAATTTTTTTGAATATATACAATTTTTACTTGTCAATTTTTTTTTTTTTTAAATCACAGCTTGATGAACATGTACTTTTTTGTTGCTGTCAAAGACAACACTATAAACATCAGCTCAGAAGCAAATACACGTCTCAAACTAACATCGTACTGAAGTCACTCTTTCTGGTCCCTGGTCCCTCCATTATTCTCTGCCATGAAGGGGTGTAAGTTGTCTGATGGTCACAGAGCACAGTAAAGTTTAACTCTTCCTTGTCACAGTTCCACCATGTCCTAGCGACACACTCTAGGATAAGAGGTCTGTTTTGTGTGACAGTGGAGCTACTTAACCATCTATAAAATGAGCCCAAAAAGTGTCTGGTGGTTACGTGCGAGTCACAAAAACTGTAAGTTGCTTCAATTTTCTTCCTTTTGTCATAAGACCCATTGCAACTTATTTTTTTCAAGTATGAAATGGAAACTGATGTCAGAAAAGACAACTGAAAATGTCTCTTTCAACCAGTTATAATTAAGTAGTACAAATTCTTAGTTTGAGTTGCTAACACAACTCTCTGTGTCATTGGAAATGCTGTTTTAGACCAAAAGAGTAATTGAAATGTGGAAAAATACAGTTCTAAAAATGAGACCAGGAGTGCCAAACAAACAGTGTGCTCTCAAAACTTCAGAGAAAGTCCTCAGAAATCAGGTTACTACAGAGAACTTCTTCACCTTCTCCCGTATGCCAGCGAGAGTGCCTGAATTACATTCATCTCACTCTTACCTGGTGAAGTAGGTTTCCATACACTTAAACATTAATAACGTAAGAGAACTACTTCAATCATACTTTTAAAATATCAGCATTAATTTAAAAAATTCTTATGTTTCCATTCACTTTAAGATCTTTTCATTGACTTCTTTTAGAGGCCTGGCTCTAACAAACTTTAACAAGAAAATCATTTCCCTTACTTCGCTCTTCACGGAACTTTCTTCCACCTCTTCCTCGACTGCTGCCAGGTAAGACATGGAGCCTCTTCTGCTCAACTGAAAGGCACAGCACAAGAATACCTGCAGTCTGCTTGCCAGTCAACATCACCAAGATCCCTGTCCGGCTGCATTTTTTGTAGGTAATGTTTTATTCACTATATTGAAGATGCCCACCCCCACAAGGAGGCTCTGTCTCCTGCTCCATTCAGCTCCTCCAGCCGGATATCCCAAGTCAGTCAAACCTTAGGTCTTGACATTTTCATGGCCCCCTGTGGCCCCTCATCAAGCAATTAAAGAATGTGATTCATTGATGTGAATGCAGAGAAGACTTAAGCACTGGGCCCTTCTTAAGTCTGCAAAGGGCTGACTTTTCCATACGAAGATACTTCAAAGGGAGGCTAGATCGATCTGCCTGTGAAATTTTATAAGCGTGTCCTAAAGTAATTCAGGCGTTAAGAATTCTGGGTGGAGTCCAGAACAGGCACACCCTGAGGATTTATATTCACTAGTAAACAACTTCAGGTTGAGAATTTCCACTTCTAAAAATTCCTTTACTACAAGCCATAGATATAGATGCCACAGGTCATTCAGGTGGAAAACACTATCCATTAATGCTCTTGTGGAGTGTGGGGCCAGCATTAACCTCAAGTCATACCCACCTTCCACTCAGAAGCATCTCTCTCCGCCACTCCACCCTCCTCTGATGCTACAGCTGGCAGCCTATCTCTTTCTACTTCCTGTTCTTGCTTCAAATGCTGGTGAAGGTTTAGTACGGTGGCCTTCAGGTCCACCAACAGGTCTTCTTTTTTTTGGTTCAAACTCAGAATCTGTTTTTCCATATCTTCGATTTCCCCCTGTGTAGAAAGAGTGTTTGCATAGGTTTGAGAAGTCTGAGGCCTCTGCGGGCCCAGAACAGCCTGCTTCCTTTGGTACAAGGGCTGAAGATTTTTCTCTGCTGTTTGGTTTTCAAAGCCAGAAGCTAGTCTCTGGTACTGTATAGCTCCTTTCCATCCTGGCTGCATTTCCAAAGGTCCTGTGTAGGGTTTATAAGCTATAGGATGCCTCAGCCTTACCAGAAACCTTGTGAATCAAATCCCTGGGGGTTAAGCCAAAGCGTGGAAACTTGTAACATGCTCCACAGATGACTGTGGTGTGCGGCCAGGGTTGGGAGCTACTGCTCCAGTGGCTAGCTACAGGACTGAGAGAACCAGGATCCACAGGGGAGGGCCCAGGAGTCTGCACACTAACTAACACCACACAAGTGCCTTATGCATACTTCCCATTGTGTCCCAAAGCATATTAAAAATGCATGTCCCCAGGAGACATGTTCCCATGTCTTTCCAGGAAAATCTTAAGCAGACTAACATTTGGGAACCACTGAGAGAAAATGAAGATAGAAATCTCATTCTTTCATTATCATCTCTGAAGACTTCTTTGGTATTACTAAATTCATTTTTTTTAAAGCACAGTCTATTCTGCTCAATCATTTACTTTTTCTACAGTAAAATCTTCCTACTAAATGAGAATAAATAAACAAATAAAGGTACCATGTAGTATAACTTATTATAGGAATGATGGACAGATGATCCCAACCTTCATAATGTTACTTTTTTAACATTTGTATTATTGACATGTGCAAATAAAATTTCTTATACATGGCAGATATGCAGATGCCCAGTGTCTGTCTGAGATGATTATAGGATTATAGATTCTTAGATTTGGAAGAAATAGCAGGTGACAAGTACACTAACATCCTCCTCTCTAGCACCTCTGAGAGATGTCATTCAACTTGCCTGAGGTCCTGAAGTGAGTGCTGCATCAGAAGCAGTCTGCTCCTTTTTAGAAAACCTTCATGTGTTTGAAATTTGTTCCTAATATATTCCTTAAACCCCTATTCTTTCCTCCTTCTTTCTTCCTTTCTTGCTGTTGGTTCATCCACCCACCCATCCTACAGATAGTCACAGAAGCATTAATTTTCTTACAGAACAGAGAAACGTAATCTGTCTCCACCTGCAAGACAGAGTTCTAAAGGCCAGAGAAGGAAGGTGATTTGTCCAATGCTGCAGCTAGCACACAGCAGAGCATAGGCCTGGGCTTTCTCCTGGCTCTACCGCACACATTCCTATGCCAATACCCCTATTGTGTCTGAAGTCAAAATTTCTGTGATTGCTTTTGGGAAATAACAGTGGTTTGACTTAAATCTGAGTTGGCTGTATTTTGTGTTCCATTTTCAATAAACACTAAACTTTAGAGGTACACTGCCTCCCGACAAGAGCGATACTATAGCCACTAGAATAACAGAAACAGAGTAGAGGCACAGTCCTACATGGAGCAGCTGCTCTCAAGGCAGCATCTGCAGACCCCTGGCCACAGTCCATAAGGTCCAGATCATTTCCATTACACTAAAATGCTATTTGCCTTTTATACTGTGCTGACATTTGCACTGATGGCATAAAAGCAATGGTGGGGAAAACTACTGGCACCTTATATGAATCAAGGCATGCACGCCAAGTATTTTAGTTATTACCGGGTTCTTCACTTTGATGTATTTATATTAAAAAAATTTCCATTTTCCTTAAGAATGCCCTTGATAAAAATATGTGTCTTAGTTTATTTGTGCTGCCATAACAGAATATCTGTGATTGGGTAATTTATAAAGAACAGAAATTTATTTCTCACAGTTCTGGAGACTGGAAAGTCCAGGATCAAAGTACTGGGGGGTTTGGTGTCTAGTGAGGGCTGTTCTCTGTTTCCAAGATGGTGCATTGAACACTACATCTTCCTGAAGGGAGGTTTGTCATGTTCTCACATGGCACAAAGCAGAAGGGCAAAAATGGGTGAATTCCCTCCCTCAAGCCCTTTTCTGAGGGCACCTAATCCCATTCATGAGGGAGGAGCCCTCATGACTCAATCACCTCCCAATGGCCACACCTCCTGATACTGCTGTGTTGGTGATCAAGTTTCAACATGAATAAAAATGTTGGGGGGGGCAACATTTTTTGGGAGGACAAAAACATTCAAACCGCAGCACTATATATTTTCACTATTCTTTGTGAAAAAACGGAAAGTATGCATATGGCACTTCTGCTGCATATGAAGGGCCAATGGTTGAGAAAAAGCACTTATGCTACTGTTTGAGTTGTAAGCTGAACTATCATTTTTATTCACAGAATGCTATTTTTACTTGAAAAAAAAGCCACCTGATAAACTGTATTGCTTTCCTTAAATACTAAAAGATTTTTTTCTGAAGAGATAGGTGTTAATATTAACAAGTACGATTCAAAGAAATAATGACTCTTGAAATGTGTCAACATTTGGAAGATCTGCACAACTCAGTTAATCAGGATTTTCCAAGTGATTGAGTGTGATGTTATAAAATCATGCATTGTTAGAAGATCCATTCGAAGTACAAAGTAGACCAGTAAATTTTAATGTAAGAACGTATAAAGTTCATTGACATGGGTTCAGATTCCATTTACAATTAATATGTAATTTACACTTGTTGGGTTTTAGTAGAGTTTCAAAGAAAAATGTCCACAATTATTCAAAAGGACTATTAAAATATCCCTCCATCTTCCAAGTGCATGTCTTTGAGAGGCTGTATTGTCTTCGTATACTTAAAACAAAACTACATGCCTCAACAGATCAAATGCAGAAACATAAGAATCTGCCTATTAGGTGGGTGCCAAAGTAATCATGGTTTTTGTCATTACTTTCAATGGCAAAACCGGAATTACTTTTGCACTGACCTAATATTAAACCAGATATTAAAGAGATTACAAATACATAAAACAATGTCCCTCTTCTCATTACTATTTGTTTTAGAAAATATAACTACTTAAAAAAATGTTATTTCTACTCCAGCCTGGGTAACACAGTGAGACCTCATCTCTAAAAAAAAAATAAGAATAATAAAAATAGTTATTCCTATTAAAATATAGTGGGTTTATTATTGTTGCTTAAAAACTAAATGAATGTTTTTACATTTCTGAGTTTTAATTTCGTTATCAATGGATATAATTCATATAAACAAAAGCTCTTTGGGATCCCTGATTTTTTAGCATAAGGGGAAATCTAATATTTTTACAATATTGAGTCTTTATTACTGATTGGGAATTATTGATCCACCATTTAACAGCTGTGTCATCTTGTACTCTCCTGTACTTCACTGTAGATGTCAAATCACTTGCCCCAGGTCTCACAGCTGGCAAGTAGTGTCACCTTCCTTTGAGTACCATATTAATTGCTTGTCTGCATCAATTTGATGGCAAGAAAAAAAGCAGCTCTCTATTACTCCTACCATACAATCAGGTTTTTTTTTGTTGTTGTTTATGGAAGTGTTACTTCAAAAACAAAGACTGAAAAAACCTAGCAATAGGTTATCATGCAAACCATTGTTACTGAATCTACATGACACTGTTAATTCTGACATATGGCAATATGTTAGTATGGCAATACTGCTTAGAATATGGAATTCTTTATTACAATAGTATTCAGGGTCTTCATTGCTGAAGCCCAGCCTGCCCATACTGCCTGACTCTATCTCAGAAAGTCAGGTGGTCCAAATATCCTGTATGTTATATCAGGTTCTTTGGTACTAGAGCAAATTCAGATCAAAACGCATCAAGTTGAGGCCAAGGGCACTTAAAAAGCCCTCCATTAAAGGAGGAGATGTGGCAGCCCTGGCTCAGTTTCTGGGGTTAGGGCTGCCCAGGCTACAAACGGATAAGGCTTCTCTTGATTAAACATCAGGGGCTACAATTTTATCCTTTGATAATTATATAATCATCTATTTTATGAAATAGGGATGGAAAGTAAACACACACAGAAATACCTTCAATTGTTACAGAGAAATAGGAACTTACACTGTACCACTAGAAAGGCGTCTAGACACCAAAGCCTTAGTAAGTATTAAATAAATGGATGGATGGACAAATGAAACATACCTTTATGAATGAAAGAAACATACCTGTAGTTGTGGCAGCTTGGCAGCTTGGTCTGGTGACATATGTTCAAGGGAGAACTGAGCTGAATAATTATTTAAGATCTGTTTCAAATTTTCTATTTCTTCATCACATTCATTGGTCTGTTTTATGACTACCTATAAAATAACCCCCACAAAAAAGAATATTTGTTATAATCTAAGCAGATTAATGGACTATTTTCATTGTTTAGCTCCACAGAAGTTTTAATCACTCACGGCAAATATGCACCCATTGAGATTTCAATAGGACGTGGTAGCCTAAACAGAGAGAAGAATGTTTGCAAAGCTGACACCTGATCTTCTTGCTCTACTAGATGCCAGAGCACCTTGGGCAGTGCTTAAAGTACAAGTCTCACTGGACACACCTTTGCTCTTAAGTATTTCCAGTCCAGTGCATTTATTCTGGAAAGCATTTTATGGCATGTTAACATAAAGTTGCTAACTTTTGAGAATTTACTGACAAGTCACATACACCATTTTAATACATATTCCATGGCGGGGGTGGGGGGGCAGGCTTTCCGCATAGAAAGGTGACATAACTGATTCAGTCAGAACAGAGCATGTGATGTCAGTGATGATGGGTTTTCCCAGTCCAGACTCATCTTCACCTGGTACCCCTTGGGATCAGTGATGTGTATTTTATGAGTAAGAGGCTGAGGGTTCAAGAACATTCTGAATTTGCAGAATAAGGCAAAACTAACCAGAACAATACCTGGCATCTAGTGTTAGGGGGGTAGCGAAGCTCCGACCTATCTGGGGACTAAATAGTATGATTAAGTATGATGAAAAACAAAGAAACAGACTTCAAAAGAAAAACTAGATACTTCTTTGGTATGCTACATAGTGAAGCAAAATGCCTTTTAAAACTACAAAGTTTCTAGCCAACACGGAATTCTTCCTTGTATTTTCTTTAATATTTAACCATAATTTTAGCTGTAGGCTGGAAATGAATAACTATGTTCACTGTGCACATCTGCTCCCCAGCCCTCAATAATGAACTACATCCTGTTACTCCCCACAAAAGTAATTTGTCTTATTTTCTACAACGAGGGCACTTACAATATCTAAAGTAGAAATTAAAGGAAATGTACCATATTCTAATGATTGTCATCACCACTGTCTTACTTAGCTTTGAAATATCTGAGGGGACATCTGATTGCCACCAGCACAATGAGATGGAAAATTTGAGCAGCACAGTTTGATACCTAACTTGGCACAAAATAGAAGTTCCTCTTCTATTTCACCCTTTTCATCTGTGAAGAAGCCACTTGAAAGCATAGTTAGGACTGTGGCTTTCTTCTTCTGACCAGGAGACCAATAAAGCACAAGAGGATGAAAATAATAGATCAAATTATGTATTTTTTTCTTCTCTTTATATTATTACAAGATAGTACACTGAGTGCTAGGTCTTCTTTCTCTCTGTGGGTGTTATAGAACGACATCATTGACCAGTAGCCAGACCAGAGAAACTGAGTTAAGACTCAAACCAGAGAGTATAGTCTCCTCAAACCTTAGGAGAACAGAGTGGCCACCAAAATGTACATGAAATTTAACAGGGATTAAGACATAGTTATTTTTCTTCTTATAAACAGAAGGCCGTCATGAAAAATGAAAAATAACCCCTACAGTGACCCATCTAATCAGGAAAGGCAGCACGCAGGAGGTCGACGGAGAGGGCTGGAAGTCAGTGCAGACTTTCTACAACTTTCTCTTCTTGTGGGAATTCCTTGATCTAGGAATACAAACTAAAGATTATTCCTCACTAATGATGATTCCTGATGGAGACTAGTGATTTAACAAAACCCAACCACCACCACCACAATACAAAACCTCTCTGGGAAGAAGATGAAAAATATCAGCCCTCAATATGCAGAAATGACACCAGGAGTTTAGAAACTCAAATTCTTGCTCCATGTGTACATACATTAACCTCTACACAAGTGAACTCTGTGGTCTTTCAGCAGGTCACTTAGCCCTGGTGCCGATTTCCTTATCTGTAAAAAGAAAGATGATAAAGTACCTACTCTGCCTACATCACATGCTTGGTAACGAGAAAGTCAATAGGAGAGTGACTGAGATGAATAAAGAGATTACTATGGTGATGATTACTTTACAGATCTGTTGGCCTCAGGGGCTGCAAATGCCTTGTTCAGGTATGACTCTCTTCCCACAGAATTTTGCCCATGTAGGTCTTTAACAACTGTGGAATGAAATTAAATAGACCGTAACTATGTTTTAATGTCTTCAACCAGAACAAGGATAAGAAGTCAGAAAAATAACCTTAGCTCCATTTGAGCATGAAGATATGCTTTTATATTAAATGCTACCTCCTATAATAACAGGATAATAATGAATTTCAATTAGAGGTGAAAACCAAACCAGCTTTTGGTGAACATTCTCATCCAGTAAGTTGGCTGTCATCAGAAACTGCTTACCTTTAATAACTCATTTTGTTCTTGAGTCACATTTTCCAATAGTTTTATATCTTGTAAAAGCTGATTTGTCCGCTGAAACACAGGGAGAGGTTTCATTCCTGTCTGCGGCAACCTCAGTTCCACTTGGTAAGACACTATCTCAGCAATGGTTTTCTTCATGGGACGTATATTTTCAAGTATGACCTTAATTATATAAGAGGAGCATGTTACAGAAATGAAAAGACAATAGTCACTGTTAAATTTAATTATTTGCAATTAAAATACGGTATAGTTTTTATAGTTTCCATTTTTAAAACTATTTCATAGCTCAGATTGAAAAGAACTATCACTTGTGATCCGGGAGTTGAAAGTCTCAGGAAAGAATAACTGGGGCAAGAGTAACCTACCAATACTCAATTACGCATTTGGACAACTTTTTCTTCCTTTTCTCCCTCCACTTTCTGTGTAGAACTGGTGTTCTGCTGTGTGTATTGTCACTAGGCAGTGAACAATGTAAGGGCAGGTACTGCCTCTCACTTTTGTAGCAACTACACCTAGCACAGGGCTTCCCGTATAGTGGGCCCTCAAAAATGCTTATTGACTTGAACAGAACTGTCCTGCATGAGTCCCAGGAGTATAATTATATTTTGCTTTAATAACATCTGATCCACAGGAATCTGGATTTATGTAACCAATACATTAGAAGAGATTACTCACTGTACTAAGTCATATTTCATATAATATCATTTCATTTAATCCTTACAACCCCTTGAGAGGTAAGTATCCTAACCTCCATTTCACAGGTGAGGAAATTGGATTCACAGAAGTTAGAAGATCCAGGTAAGCTTAGTGTGTTAAGAAGCAGAGCTGGGAACAGAATCCAGGCCTCCCTGGTCCTCAACCACATGCTCTCAATGACTAGGCTGAGCAGGGGATCAACATTTGCCTGCTGTTTAGTCATGTCCCAGCTCCTCTGTCAGGGGCTCTATTTACATTACAATTGGCCAATGTAATCACCTCAGTACCAGTGCACAGATATGAAAGACAATCCAAAAACCATTAATTACTCAAAGTCACGCAGTGAGCAGCCTAGCTGGGGCTGGAACCCAGTTCAGCCTGAATTAGGTGCTCAAGCCTTTGAGTTTGATTTAAACGAAAAAATAACCTATAGGAAAATTATCTTTACATAGGTGGTACTACAACTATGATTTAAATATACAGTTATAGTTATTCCCATCAATTTCCCAACCTTATTTTGCTACTACTCTGGTAAGACTAAATGCTTTTTAAAATCACATTATATTCTATTTTGAAAAAGACATAATAAGTATCATAAGAAAATACTTTAAATAATAATCTGTGCTTACCTCTCCATGTTTAAGATGTTCTTCAGGTGAAAAATCAAATATTTCTTTTGATAATAGGATAGTTTTGATTTTTGAAACTTTTTTTTCCATTGATTTTACTTCAGATTCAATAGCAACCACATCCTAGAATTTCAGAAGAACACACTGATGCAATATATATTGTATATTAATCATCTATAAAACACAGTTTATTGGCATTAATTCTATTCTCTTATTTAGCCAAATAATGTCTGCCATCTATACCTCTTAAAAACTAACCACGCACTACAGATAAATAATGTTCACCATTTTCTTTCCTTTTTTTCTTTTTTCTTTTTTTTTGAGACAGAGTTTCACTCTTGTCACCCAGGCTGGAGTGCAATGTCGCGATCTCTGCTCACTGCAACCTCTGCCTCCCGGGTTCAAGCCATTCTCCTGCCTCAGCCTCCTGAATAGCTATGGGTTACAGGCGTGTGCCACCATGCCCAGTTAATTTTTATATTTTTAGTAGAGACGGGGTTTCACCATGTTGGTGAGTTGGAGGCCAGGCTGGTCTCCAACTCCCGACCACAGGTGATCCACCTGCCTCAGCCTCCCAAAGTGCTGGGATTACAGATGTGAGCACTGCGCCCGGCCAGTGTTCACCACTTCCAATATAAATGTTAATCTATTAATAGCACACCACAATACAAAGCATTGCTTATATACCTTCTGGACTAACGCTCATAATATGGCCAATTTTAAATTACTCATACTATGAGATCGAAGATCATACACATTGAAATCAATTTTTTTTTAACTCTTCAGATTTATCTTTGGAATATATTTAAAGACTTGAAAGCAGGTAGGTGTGACATTCTAAAAACTCCCACCACCTTAAGTAAAATGATAAAGTCATCCTTGGAAAACGAACACACAGGAGCTAGAAAAGGGTCAGGACTTTTTCACTAACACCCTAATAAACTGTTGCCAAGTGGAGTGTCACTGAGTTTTTTTTTTTTTTTTTTTTGAGACGGAGTCTCACTCTGTCGCCCAGGCTGGAGTGCAGTGGCCGGATCGCTGCTCACTGCAAGCTCCGCCTCCCGGGTTCATGCCATTCTCCTGCCTCAGCCTCCCGAGTAGCTGGGACTATAGGCGCCCGCCACCGCACCCGGCTAGTTTTTTTGTATTTTTTAGTAGAGACGGGGTTTCACCGTGTTAGCCAGGATGGTCTCGATCTCCTGACCTCGTGATCCGCCCACCTCGGCCTCCCAAAGTGCTGGGATTACAGGCTTCAGCCACCGCGCCCGGCCGTCACTGAGTTATTTTATAACCTACTCAGATTAAGTTAAACAATGGATCATTTGTCCAGTGGTTATTCTCTCATCAGTATCAACATCCAGAACCTGGCCAAGAACCTTCAAGTGAAATGCTGCAAAAATAAGTAAAGTATGCTGCAAAACCTACACACTGAAGTCCACACAACCATAAGAGAGCCTAAGGCCTTTAGAGTTCAATGCAGATCTACTGTGCCAATAAGGAATGGTTAATAATGAAGGAGATTTAAAAATGACATAAAAAAAGACAGGGTATCAAATTATAGCAGTCTGGAGCTATTCAATATAGGAACCAACAAATATTTTATCTTATTTTATTTTTGAGAGGGAGTTTTGCTCTTTTTGCCCAAGCTAGGGCGCAAGGGCACGATCTCGGCTCTCTGCAACCTCTGCCTCCTGAGTTCAAGTTATTCTCCTGTCTCAGCCTCCCAAGTAGCTGGGATTACAGGCGCCTGCCACCACACTCGGCTAATTTTGTTTTTTTGTTTGTTTATTTTTTGAGACAGAGTCTCGCTCTGTCGCCCAGGCTGGAGTGCAGTGGAGCAATCTCAGCTCACTGCAAGCTCCGCCTCCCGGGTTCACGCCATCCTCTTGACTCAGTCTCCCGAGTAGCTGGGACTACAGGCACCCGCCACCACGCCCGGCTAATTTTTTGTATTTTTAGTAGAGACGGGATTTCACTGTGTTAGCTAGGATGGTCTTGATCTCCTGACCTCGTGATCTGCCCTCCTCGGCCTCCCAAAGTGCTGGGATTACAGGCGTAAGCCACTGCGCCCGGCCTAATTTTGTACTTTTAGTAGTGACGGGGTTTCGTCATGTTGGCCAGGCAGGTCTCGAACTCCTGACCTCAGGTGATCTGTCCACCTCGGCCTGCCAAAGTGCTGGGATTACAGGCGTGAGCCATTGCGCCTGGCCAGGGACCAACAAAACTTCATAAGAAAATGAAGCAGTATGTACAATAGCTGTTTATAGTGATAGCTCCAAATTATGAGAAAAAGTTAAATTACATGGACATTATTCTGGGTACCTACTATTTAAGAAGGTATATAGAATTATACAATGTATTTTAGGGTAATTTTCATCAAAAATTATAGAAGCATTTAAAAATTTTGAAATGAGCTTTAGTAACCAAAAATAATTACTTTAACAGTTATTATTCCCTAAAGACACATGAGTGTGGCCTAGGGAATGTAACTGAGTAACAAAGGTAAATCATGAAGAACTGTAATTGCCTCTACCATGTGACTCTCTCTTTAAATAAATGCTTCAGATGTTTCAAGCAAAAATAAAAATCCAGAGGCTGGCAAATAACAACCCCTTAATAAATATTTGCTGTTGGTAAATAAAGACTTGGGACTACCTGTTTTACACTTGTTTTTAATTCCTTTTTGTGGAGAATGGGGTCTTACTGTAGTGCCCAGGCAGGTCTCAAACTCTCGTGCTCACGCTATCCTCCCGCCTCTGCCTCCCTAAGTGCTGGGATTACAGGCACGAGCCACCATGCCGGGCACCGCGCCCGGCCAGAACTCTCTCTTTTAATTCCCTCTTTCCTATCCAGCACTTAAAAATCAGTAGTATTTCTCTTTGACAAAGAGAAAACACTGAGCTTATTTTATCAGGATTCTTTACTCTTTAAAACAGACCACTTCTGGATTGCAAATGGGGAGATGCTTTTTGTTATAATTACACGTTACACTACAGGTTGCAAAGTAAAGTAAAATGTAATTCCACAAATGAGAACACACATGACATTTTACCAGATCAACGTGTCTTCACATTGATTAGCTGTATAGTGCTTGGTTAGTAGTATAACTCTTACTTATTTATTTGACACAGTCCTGCTCTGTCACCCAGGCTGGAGTGCAGTGGCGCAATCTTGGCTCACTGTAACCTCTGCCTCTCAGGTTCAAGCGATTCTCCTGCCTCAGCCTTCCAAGTAGCTGGGATTACAGGTGTGCACCACGATACCCAGTTAATTTGTGTATTTTTAGTAGAGATGGGGTTTCACTATGTTGGCCAGGCTTGTCCTGAACTCCTGACCTCAAGTGATCCATCCGCCTTGGCCTCCCAAAGTGCTGGGATTATAGGCGTGAGCCACCATTGCACAGCCTCTAATTTAATCCTGAATGAAATATAAATAAAGAATAAGAAATCATATCTTTATGGTGCAAACTTACATCAGCCATTCGCTGAATCTGTGGAAGGCTTTCCATTATTTTTTGTTGTAATGCTGTTACTTGATTACTTAACTCTTGCACAGATTGTGTTAATTCATCTGTTTCAAAAATTATTGACAGGTCTTCTAGATCCATAAAGATTGAATGTAAAAGATTGTGCCTCTGTTCTGAATCTTCCAAAGCCATCTAGATAAACACAGAATGGGAAAAAGAGAGAGAGGCATCAAGATCCTGATATAAGTTGATTAAAATTTAAACCAGAGAAAATTGACAGTTGTCTCAACATTTTAAATTCCTACTCATTTCTAGTTCAATAATGAAAACATAACAACCTCTATTGTCAATGACAGTGAAAGACTTCAGAGTATCTACCTGTATACTGTAATATAATAAGAAACATACATATTTGGTCTTCGTCCACTTCTAAAACCTTTAGAATCCTTTAATAATAGGGGTGAGAGAAGTGTCTTTTATTATACATAATAAGCCCTTTCATACATGTAATAACTTTCAAATTTAAGACATCAAAATAGCTCAGCCACCTAATGAAAATGTTCAGCTTGATAATGTACTTTTCAGGTAATTCCACAAAAAATAACTGATAGGAGAAAGAACATTCACTTATGCAACTAGAATTTTAATCATAAGTCACTAAAACTAAGTGGGTTATTCAGAATTTTATATTAATCTTATTCAAAATCCTTATAGGAGAAAACGTTTAGGAAAACAAAACTTAAAACTAATGCTTTTTTTTTTTGTTTTTTACCAATTATCATTGACAACAGCATCAAAAATAGTAAAATACTTAGGAATAAATTTAACAATATACATGCAAGAAATGTGTACTGGGCCAGGTGCGGTGGCTCATGCCTGTAATCCCAACACTTTGGGAGGCCGAGATGGGTGGATCACCTGAGTTCAGGAATTCGAGACTAGCCTGGCCAACATGGCGAAACCCTGTCTCTACTAAAAATACAAAAATTAGGCTGGGCGCGGTGGCTCAAGCCTGTAATCCCAGCACTTTGGGAAGCTGAGACGGGCAGATCACGAGGTCAGGAGATTGAGACCATCCCGGCTAACACGGTGAAACCCCGTCTCTACTAAAAAATACAAAAAACTAGCCGGGTGAGGTGGTGGGCACCTGTAGTCCCAGCTACTCGGGAGGCTGAGGCAGGAGAATGGCGTGAACCCGGGAGGCGGAGCTTGTAGTGAGCTGAGATCCAGCCACAGCACTCCAGCCTGGGTGACAGAGCGAGACTCCGTCTCAAAAAAAAAACAAAAAACAAAAAAACAAAAATTAGCCAGGTGTGGTGGCGGGAGCCTGTAATCCTAGCTACTCAGGAGGCTGAGGCAGGAGAATCGCTTGAACCCAGGAGGCGGAGGTTGCAGTGAGCCATTATCGCACCACTGCACTCCAGGCTGGGCGACAGAGAGATACACCATCTCAAAAAAAAAAAAAAAAAAAAAAAGACCTGCATACTGAAAATTACAAAACATTGTTGAGAGAAATTAAACCCCAAAAGAGATAAAGAGATATCACGTTCCTGGACTGAATAGTTACTATGGTTGAGATGTTAATTATCTTCCAAATTGATTTACAAATTTAATGCAATCCCACTCAAAATTCCCACAGACCTTTATTTAGAAATTAACAAGTGTATTCTAAGAGTTATATAGAAATACAAAGGCCTTGATTTAGCCAAAACAAATCTGAAAAAGAAGGACAAAGTTGTAGAATTGATGCTACCTGATTTCAAGACTTACTGTAAAGCTATAGTAATGAAGACTGTCATATTAATGAAAAGTATAGACATACAAATCAATTGAACAGAAGGGAGCGCCCAGAAATAAACACACATGTGTAAGGTCAATTGATTTCCAATAAAGTGCCAAAGTAATTTAATGGTGATTCTGATCAATAAATGATGCAGAAACAATTGGATATCTCCATGGAAAAAAAGAACTTTGATCCTTCAATCACACCTTATGCAACAATAAACATGAGATAAATCATAGAACTGACAGTAAGAGTTAAAACTATCAAGTTACAGGAAGAAAACACAGGAGGAAATCTTTGCAACCCTGGGTTAGGTAAGGATTTCTTAGAATGTGGCACAAAAGAATAATCCACGAAAGAAAATATTGATACATTGGACCTCATCAAATTAATAACATTTGCTCTTTGAAGGACAGTGTTAAAAGAATGAAAAGACAAGCCACAGACTGGAAGAAAATATTTGTAAATGACATATATGTCAAAAGAATGGTTCAGAATATTTTACAAAAAACTTACAACTCAACAAGAAGACAAACAATGCAATTTTTTTAATGGGCAAAAAAAAAAAAAATTGAACAGATACTTTACAAAGGAAGTGTACAAATGACCAATAAAGACATAAATAAATGCTCAAAATTGTTAGTCATTACAGAAATGCCATTTAAACCACAATGAATTACCACTGCAAGTCACTAAAATGGCTAAAATTTAAAAGGCAGACAATATTAAGTACTGTTGAAAATATGAAGCAATTAGAACTCATGTTGCTGGTGGGAATGAAAAATGATATAGCCATTTTGGAAAACAATTTCTCAGTTTATTATTTATTTAAACACATCGTAAAAGTCAGAGATCCTACTTTTAGGTATTTATTCTTTGAAATAAAATGAAAACATTTGTCTACACAAAGATTTATATATAAATGTTCACAGCAGTTTTGCTCATAATAGCCTATGGTAGCAGCCTCTAAGGTAGCCCTGAATGACCCCTACCTCCTGGTATTCATACCCTTATATCAGCTTCCTTGAATGTAGGCCAGACTTACTAATTTAATTCTAATAAAATATGGCAGAAGTGATGAGATGTCACTTCCAAGGTTAGATTACAAAGACTGAGGCCCAGCCTGGGCAACAAAGTGAGACCTTATCTACAAAAATTTAAAAATTAGCCGGGCATGGTTGCGTGCGCCTGTAGTCCCAGCCACCTGGGAGGCTAAGGTGGGAGGAACATTTGAACTCAGAAGGTGGAGGTTGCAGTGAGCCGACATTGTGCCACTGCACTCCAGCCTGGGTGACAGAGCAAGAACCTGTCTCTAAAATTAAAAAAAAAAAAAAAAATGTGGCTTCTGTCTTGAGAGCTCTCTCTCACTCTCTTGGAAATTGTTTATGCCGAGGGAAGCCAGCTGCCATGGTGTGAGGCAGACTCCTGGAGGAGCACACGTGTCTGTGAGTAGAAGCAGATCTTCTGAGGCCTGTCAACAGCCATGGGAATAAGCCTGGAAGCGGATCCCACCTCCTCCCTCATGCAAATTGAGCCTTCAGATGAGTCTGCAGCCTTTGCCAACACCTTGACGGCATTCTCATGAGAGAACCTGAGCCAGAGATACTTAGCTAAGCCATGCCGGTGGACTCCTGACCCACAGAAACTGTGATAGTAACAGTTTGCGGTTTCAAGCTGCTAACTTTTGGAGTAATTTGTTAGACAACAAAGCGAATACATAGCTCAAAACTGGAAACAACCCAAATATCTATTAACTGGTAGATAAACAAACTACTTAATTCCAAATTTATTTCCAAAACTGGAACACTACTTGGCAATCAAAGAATTAACTATGCATTAAGTGTAACAACCTGGATGAATCTCAAAAGCATTATGTGAATTGAAACAAGTGAGACACGAAAGACTATACACTGTTTGATTCCCTCTACATGATATTCTAGAAAAGGCAAAACTATAGTAATAAGAAACTGTGAGTGGTTACCTAGGGTTGAAGATGGGTGAAAAGGAATTGACTGCAAAGAGGCAGGAGGAAACGTCTTGGGAGATGGAGATGTTCCTTATATTGATGGCGGTGGTGGTTATACAACTGCACTTTTATCAAAACTCACCTAACTGCATACTTAAAATAGGTGTATTGATATTTTTACTATATGTAAATTATACCTCAATAAAGTTGATTTAAAAAACAGGCCAGGTGCGGTGGCTCACGCCTGTAATCCCAGCACTTTGGGAGGTCGAGGCGGGCAGATCAGCTGAGGTCAGGAGTTCAAGATCAGCCTGGCCAACATAGTGAAATCCCGTCTCTACTAAAAATACAAAATAAGGTGAGCGTGGTGGCATGCACCTGTAATCTCAGCTACTGGGGAAGCTGAGGCAGGAGAATTACTGGAACCTGGGGGGCGGAGGTTGTGGAGAGCTGAGATCGCACCATTGCACTCCAGCCTGGGCAAAAAGAGTGAAACTCCATCTCAAAAAAATAATAATAATAATTTTCTATTTTTATAATGACAATTTATGAATTTATGTTTCAGTGATTCTTACAACAGTAGTATTTATGGAATTATCTTTAGGTTACAAAGACTTGTTTTAACAAACACAATCCAGGTAGAAGGATATAGTACAATTAAAACAAACATTTAAAGCCTAGTTGAGAGTTCTGACACCTCTTTAAAAGTGAATTTAAAAATACCTGAATATGCTAGAAAATGGAAAAGGGCATCCTAAAAGTAGAATTATTGGACAAACGAGGATTTCACATAGTTTTATTTGGGACTTACTTCCCAGGGGGAGATTAGGACACATCAGGGCACACAGAAATAAACTCGCACCTTCCCTTGTCCCTACTTCCTTTACTCACTTCTAGCTCAGAAAGAAAGTCTAGCAATTTAAAATGTCCTGAAGTTTGAGAGATGCTTTCACATTTTTACATTGGTATCAGTAGAAGGTAGCAAAATCCCAGCTGCTTTTGCCTGAGCTTACTTTTGTACAGTTTGTTTTTTTAACTCATAATAAGCATTTGAAGGAAAAAAAAAAAAGCATCATTCCTCTCTTTTGTCTTAGTACAGTCCTCAAAAATAGTGACTCAGGGAGGTGATAAAAAGTTTAAAAATGACAAACTTTGGGGATGTGGAAAGTTAATCCAAGTGGGGAAAGGCAAAAAAATCATGAGCAAGGGGAAGAAAAGGAAAAAAAATCGGTAGAAATGCAGCATCTTTACAATTGTTACCATAAAAAAAAACACCAACAATTCTCAAACTTCAGGGAGGTCTGAGGTCAGCAGCTCACTTAGGAACACACTGTGCCATTCTAAAGATAGAAAAAGGAGCTGAATCACCTTTGAGGTCTGATTCTGTAAACACTGTTACCAAATAAGCTTTTCTCTAAGGGATTCCTTCTCATGGCAGAATAAAAGAAGGAAAACACACCTGTGCAATGCAACTTCCCTAATACTCAGCATCCAGAAGATGTTTTGCAGCCGAGGCCTCAAGTAGGAAAACATTTTCATTTGTTTTGTCTTTGTAAGCCAGCATAGACACATGGGGCACATGTGGAGTACCAGCAAGGACAGGAAATTTGGAATCATGGTGTGTTAGAAGTGGAAGGAACCATGGATTCGTGTTCTATTGCTGTGTAACTAATTACCACAAACTTAATGGCTTAAAACACAAAAAAGTTATCTTGTAGTGTTCAGGGGTAAGGAGTCCAGGTATAGCTGAGGTGAATCCTCTGTACGGGGAGCCACAAGGATGCAGTCCGGTGCCATCTGGAGCTCGGGGTTCTCTTTCAAGATCATTCAGGTTGTTGGCAAAATCCAGCTGTAGGACTGGGCTCCCTGTTTCCTAGCTGGCTCTCACTGACTCTCAGCTTCTAGAAAGAGCCTTTGGGCCCTAGCTCCATGGTCCTCTGACAATATAGCCACTTTCTCAAGGAGAATCTCACTACACTCTGCTACAGGCTGAGTAACCCTTATCTGAAATGCTTGAGACCAGAAGCGTTTCAGATTTTGGACTTCTTCAAATTTTGGAATATAAGTATTATACTTACCGGTGGAGCATTCCAAATCCAAAAATCCCATATTAGAGAGTCTTATAATCACATTAATCAAGTATTTATGGGAGTGACTACCCCATTACCTTAGTCATATAACGTAACCTAGTCAATGAAGTGACTTTCCCATCGTATTCATATTCCTGCCCACATTCAAGTATTATTCTTTCAACTATTCTTTCAGGTCATATACACCAGAGGATGGGAATATTGGGGGGGCATCTTAGAATTCTAACAACCAAAACCATTAGCACTATCCTGTGCACATTCTTATTTCATGGGGAGAAACTGAGGTCCATAGAAGATAAACGAAATTATCAAAAAAGTCATAAAGTAGTTATCAGGACAGTAAGAGCTGAATCCTGCTCTCCAAAATCTGTGTCTAGTGCTTGCCACTCTCTCAAGCTTCCTTCTGCCACTGACACGGTTAGTGGTAAGATTGTATTTCAGGAAAGGAGGAAAAAAGCACCAGGACGATCAGGTAAGCCATGAATCCTTATGTAGATGCTATGAGCAGCAGAAAACCTAGAAGAACACTTACCTGCAGAGTGCTAGCATGGTGACTCAGTGTCCTTGAAGAGTCATAGTCAGCAGGATTGGCCAGCAAATGACTGGTATTTTCTATCCAAGCCTCAGTGCTCTTCAGAAGGTCATTATATTCCTCCATCTTAACTGTGGCCTGAGAAAGAGATGCAGGACCAAACTTGGTCACATGCCTTTTACTGGAGCCGAATGACTCCTCGATGAAGAGTAAGTTGCTGTTAGTCAGGGGTGTGTCAGGCCTTGCAGATGTCTGCTCCTCATGGCTGGGGCCACTTGTTCACCTGCTCTAGGTTATGATACTTCTGACTTTTAAGATTAACTCTGACCATAGGTGGAAAGGATTTAAGCGGTTCTACTCCAACATCATGGGCCTCAGCAAAGTTCTGGGTTAGCCTTGCAACTATTCTGGTTCCCATTTTAGGCTTCATTTTAAAAACTGGGCTGTACTTTGTCCTCCTGTTCAAGACCTTGCCCTACAGTTCTAAGACTAGGATGCTGCCTCACTCTTGTTAAATCACAAACACAACTCAGCCAACCACAGCTCCTGTTTGGAAGGAGGGTAGGGAGGGTATCCTGTACCTGAATGACAGTCTTTCTCATTGTTGTCTCCCTCACTAGACTCCGGAGATCACCTGTCCTAAATTCCCATTACTGGTCTTTATCCACCTGTAGGGGAGCCTGGACTTCCCAACAGTTTGCCTGGCTCTTGCTGTGGTCAACTTTCGGATTCTTGGTTCTATCTGCCCAATCAGACTTTCTGCCTGAACTAGCATTGAAATCTGTCTCCTCAGTGCCCACGCGAGCCTACCATGGCCCCAGCTTCAAGTCCAAAACTGATAATTCAAGAGAAATTGGCTGTTTCTGAATATATTGTTTTGCTTTAACACCATCTCAATACCACCACATGATATGAAGCTATTATGAATCACAGCCATACCTTATTCAACTGTGAGGTTCTAGACTCTGCTCTCTGTGATACTTGCTGATACTGCTGGAAAGGAATCATCAAGTTATCCATCCATTCTTGAGCCTGTCCTGGGTCCTGTTCAACGATGTCCTGAACTTCAGAATCCAGCTCATTTAGTTTGGAATGCCATAGATCTAACTCATCCCACATTTTCTGGAGAAGGAAATTGTAAGTCAACTTGAATGAAGAGGTCATAGTTTATGGAGGCAATGCCTGGTTTTCACACAGTATTTACATTTATAAATGCTACTAAAACACCACAGAAACAACATCACAAGAATAGCTGTTAATTTATATCCAGCAATTTGTTATCTAAACTGAAAAACACTTTTCCTGAGCTCTCCCAACTGTAACAGTATTCATTTCACTACAAATTAGCTGTAGGGGAACAGAAAGACCTGGACATTTCTAGAGATGACCGACAAGGTCAATACAGCCCTCATCTCTCAAGAGTGACGAGCAAAACATTCTGTTTTAAAAGGGCTTGGGGAAATACTTGAACCTATTTACACCAGTTCATACACACGCACGTGCATGCACGCACACACACACTCAATCTAGAAAATAATGTTAAGTGAAAAAATAAAACAAAGAAAAATATCTGGGCTGGGTGCAGTGGCTCACGCAATTTTGGAGGCCAAGATGTGTGGACTGCTTGAGCCCAGGAGTTCGAGACCAGCCTGGACAAAACAGGGAGGCCCTGTCTCTACAAAAAACATGAAAAATTAGCCAGGTGTGGTGGCGCACACCTGCAGTCTCAGCTGCTTGGGAGACTGAGGTGGGAGGATTGATTGAGCCAGGGAGGTCAAGGCTGAAGTGAGTTTTGATCACACCACTGCTCTCCAGCTTGGGTGACAGGGTGAGACCCTATCTCAAAAATTTAAAAAAAGAAAACTATCTGCCAACTTGGGATGAATGCAGAGGCAGAGAGCTCTAGAAACATGATTAGGAGCAACTGCTTTTGACTCAAGAAACCCATAGGTTGGATTCAAATCTGAACTTCGCTGGGCAGAGGAAAATTTCAAAGCTAAAATATTCAATTCTTAATGTTTGCTTAAGAACATTTTTTTCCCCCCTATCTTGAGGACTATATCTAACTTGTTAAATTAGGTTCCTCTGCTTAAGATTTGTCCAATAGTGAGCCATATTCTGACCTATTTTAAAAGCCCCAAATTATTAAAATATTTCCTTAAGATATAGATTAAAACAAGAATCCTTTCCCTATACTGTAGTTTGCTTGCAAATTAAGAAGTAGAATAGTGTTTATGTACAGTTTTACCTAAGATTTTATTTTATAAGACATTTTACAAGGGAAATACATTTGGAATTTTTATTTTTATTTAACCTTGGCAGTCTAAAAAAGAGCTTTAATATTTTTCATATTCTATTGAATGATTTTTAATATCAGTATCCCCAAGATAAGATCCTTACTTTCCTTTACTTGTGAAAATCACAGGCTCTCAGAAGTTTGGGTATATGCCCACCATGGAAAAACAGAATTTTTTTTTGAGAGAGTCTCACTCTGTCACCCACACTGGAATGCAGTGACGTGATCTCGGCTCACTGCAACCTCCGTCTCCTAGGTTCAAGGGATTTTCATGCCTCAGTCTCCCGAGTAGCTAGAATTGCAGTCTTGTGCCACCACGCCCAGCGAAGTTCTGTATTTTTAGTAGAGACAGGGTTTTGCCATGTTGGCCAGGCTGGTCTCAAACTCCTAGGCTCAAGTGATCATCCCACCTTGGCCTCCCAAAGTGCTGGGATTACAGGCGTGAACCACCGCACCTGGCCAACAGAATAATTTTTAAATGCAACTTTTCCCTATCAAGCCTCTCTAGGTGATGCCTCTGTGGATTTGGTTTATGATTTCTGTGCTTCAGATTAATTCAAAGAACTCACCTTGTGATAACTGATGAACAGGGCAGGAGTGGGTCAGAAATACCAAATGCTGAAGGGAGTTAAAGGAGGATTTTACCTTTTGAATTTCTTGTGCTTTCTCAATATTTTTGCTTTTCTGCTGCAACATCTTTTCAACATTATGAAGCCCATGGTTAATTTCTTCTATTTTTCTCCTCATTGCATATGACGGTGAGCTTTTTAAGATTTCATTGCTAATCTGTGAAAGACAGAAAGATGCATTTGGCTTAGAGAGGTTGTCTGCACTTTATTCATAGGTTCGAACAACAAAAGTGGTAGTCACTCTGTTACAACTTGTAAAAATCTTTTAAGGGCTGGAAGAAATTCTGAAAATGCATTAATGAGAAGGTGGATAGGAAGACTAATAAATGGCAGGTGTGTTTACTTGACCTTTTAAATATCATCTGAAATAAAACAAAAATTAGTTTAATGTAATCTAACATGTATTAAAGATATATGCTGTGTTGGGCAAAACTACTGAGTGGATTGTGTGAAACATCCCCATATGGATCAAATGATATAAAAGAATTCCTGGGGGATAAACGATTTTTATATGATCTTTCCATTTTATGAGAAAATCCTCTGCACAGATCTGTTTTCAATAAAACCAAATTTACTCTCAAGCTGACTTTAAAAAAAAAAATAATTCCAATCACAGTACTCATTTGAGTGAAACAACCTTCTAAAAGTAGCTATTTCTTGAGGATGCACAGAGTTTAATTATTCTCTGTGTAACCATTTGTAGATGTTTTCCCAGCCATCAGAAACTTAGCTACTGAACAGTGTAATTTTTTTTATCTAAACGATTCTCTTAAAAAGAAACAAACAAACAAACAAAAAAACCTTGAGCCAGGAAAGATAATAAATGAATGTTGAGTATATCACTTTCCAAATACCTGACTGGTGTGTGTTCTTGTTTTGCTATTTGATAAGGCTTTCTCCAAGCAGCTGCTAAATAACCAAGTAATACTTTATGCTTTTGTATAATCCTTTGCTTTGTAAATTAAAAAAAACAAAACAAAACTGTATCTGTGTAACCATTGAGACTAAAAGCATCCTATGCAGATAGTATACAGATGCAGAAACTGGAACACAGACTAAATGATTTGCTGCAGTCATATGTCAAGGAAGTAGATGAACTTGTCCCAAGAAACCCCCAAGTCCCCAGATTGAGTCCCAGGCTCTATTCACAATATCAGGCTGTTGATACTTTTATATCATGTCTTTATTCCCCAGACCATACTGCAGTCAATATTATTAGGAAAAAAATCTCACTTTGGTTCCATGTTAGTTTTTTATGGCTGGCTGTGTCACAAATTACCACAAGACAAAGTTTTCTGATATTTTGTGCACTTATTCTCCTGGCAGAAATGTATACCATTTAGATACATTAGGACAGATCATGATTTAGGAAATGAATATAGCCATTTGAATTATACACAATGTTACTGCGTCTGTCCCAGGATCCTTGAATTTCCTTTAGCCACATCACATAATAAAAATTAGTTGCTATTTGTGACAAATACACAGGGTCATAGCGGAAATTTTCTACCTTGAATTTGAACGACGGATTTTGATTATTAATTTACTCTGCTACAGATTTTCATAAGTATTCATGAGAATAACATTTAGTTTCTCTCAAAACATTTAGTATTTTCCTAAAATAAAATCAATAGTACCAGATCCTTGAGAAAGTACAAAATGGGTTTTCTTGTGTGTTAAATAAAAAAGATTTGTCATAAATATACATTAAGTTTACATGTTTTTTACCTTGTGAGATTTCCCTGAGAAATCTGTCATAGAATTAATGACATATTTTAGCAACTAAGTTTGAAATCTGAGTTTTTTGTGTTTATCTAAGATCTATTTTATTTATCAAGTTGTAAGTATTCTAGGCAGAAAAAATAAATTAATTAATTAATTAAAAAAAAAAAAACAACCAACAAACAAACAAACAAAAAACTTCTGTGGATACCAGACCAAACAGAATTTTCTTCTGTTTGATATGGGCTGTCTTTTTACAATCTAATCAAAATATCCTGCTAGGCTCCTATGTTTCTAGTATTATAAAATATTTTCCACCTTTTCTTCAAATCTGGACTTTCAGGTATAAAGATTCGCTCAGGTACTTTTCATGAGAATTCTGTTAACATCATCATTAGACAGACACTACATACTAAGTGCTATTCCTAGTGAGTTGTGAAATTTGTATTCTTATTGCCCTCAGCTGTAATGTCAAAATGTTTCAAAGGATGTGTTTTAAAGCAAAGTATTAACGTCCAAAATGTTCAAGTGGTTGTACAGTGGTTGTACAAAAGCAAACAAAACCAGTAAAAGATATATAACTGTATTATAAAATGCAAGAGAAGAAGCAGCATTTCGACAATTAAATATACATAAATTATCTAATTCTGTTATCTTATGTCACATATTTAAAGCATCTTTATCTCAGCATTCAATATTAGACAAAATGGTCACTTAACTCTTGAAAGCAGTCATAGCTGAAATCCCAGCAAACGGAATTTGACATTAAATGATATTTTCCTTTTGATAGACATTCAGCTCCATAAACAATAACAGTAGTATAGACATTATTATTACCTTCTCATCTATGTCTTCTAAAGCTTTTCTGCATTCTTCCACCTGGGATTCAATCTCTGCAGGGACTATGGTGTACATTTCAGAATACTTGATTCGTAGTTTTTCCATAATATTCTCAAAAGTTAGCTTCCCTTCCTTAAGGATGCTTTGAAGCTCCTAAAAACATTAAGAGAGTTGCAATACTCACAAGACTGGGGGAAAAGTTTAACTCTAGGAAGTAAAAGCGGCCTTCCAGCACATCCTTATGATTTAAAGGAGAGCAGTTTGCATGACAAAACCCCACTAGTGATACAAGCTGATTAAGCCCGAGAGATACTCAGTTTAGTCAGATGATGCTTTCTAATTTGTAAGAATTAAACTTGATATCTCTTCATAGTGTCACACCATTATCTAGAAAAGACATTACAACACCCCCTGCTTCTAAAGTACCTTTAGGATTTCATTGTATCTGCGTTGCAGACCTGATCTAAAAAGCTGCAAGCAGCAAAAAAAAAAAAAAGTTTCAAAGAAGTTTTTTGTTGTTGTTATTAATGTGTTGCTATTTCTACTTCTTCCTCCATTATCATCACAATGATTCAAGGCCACTAAAAGCCCCATGCTTGGAGCAGAAGTGTCTACTTTCATGTAATTAGACAGCCCGGCAGAGCTCAACTTCTTTCAAAAGGGAGGGTTCCAGTTCCATACAAAGAATGTAGGTTTTTAGGAGATAAAAGAAACCTGAACAAATAGTCTATTGGTTGTGGCCTAGAAACCAAATCTGATCTACCTTCTCCTGCAGTAATTATAAAGGAGAAACTCATTTGTTTGGGAAAGTTTCCCAAAGATCAAGTGGAAAAATACTTCTTGACTTGACTGTGGCTTTTTTGTTGTTTGTTTTGTTTTTACAGTAGCTGTTCAGTAGCATTATTTGTGTTCATGGATTGAGTCACTGCAGTGAAGAATGATTACAATTTTAAATGGCTCTGTGATGTGTCATTGTTTTCCTTTTCTTAATCCTCAGCAGAGGACAAATCTAGAGAGAGAAAGTTAGAGAACAATGCCATTCAAAGATGCGGTTTAAGAAGTAAGTGTCATCCCGTTTTATCTACACCTAGTCCAGGAGTACAGGCTTTCATTCAGAGGTACACTTGGAAGGCTTGCCCATGAAGACTGCTTCTTTACTTTCCAATATAATAACCGAAAGTTCTCTTTAGACAGCATGTGACTTTTTTTTCTTTTTTTTTTGAGATGGAGCCAGGCTGGAGTGCAGTGGCATGATCTCAGCTCACTGCAACCACTGCCTCCTGGGTCCAAGTGATTCTCCTGCCTCAGCATCCCAGTAGCTGGGATTACAGGCACACGCTACCACGCCTGGCTAATTTTTGTATTTTTAGTAGAGATGGGGTTTCCCCATGTTGGCCAGGTTGGTCTTGACCTCCTGACCCCAAGTGATCTGCCTGCCTGGGCCTCCCAAAGTGCTGGGATTACAGGTGTGAGCCACTGTGTCTGGCCAACACGTGACTTTTGAATAAGCTTCCAAACATCCTTTTGGGCTGTCACCATTGGACTGGAATGAAAAAGGAGATTATTCTGAAGAAATGAGATTCCAGATGACCTGTAGGGTGTACCTAGGCTCTATCAGAGACAAGGCACTAAGTGCTACTAAAGGAGTAACCCAACATGCTACTCAAGAGTGGTCTGAGGCCATTATTCACCAAACACACTGGAAATATAGTTGAAAGAAGGCTGCTTGGTCCAGACTGACTTACCTTCCAGCCTTGTTTCAACTCTGTTCTCCGCTCTCCAGCCACACTGATCTTCTCCCTTGGTTCTGCCCACACCATGCCACAGGGGCTTTCCCTGTGCCTCTCTCTCCCCAGACCACTCCCCCAAACCCAGCCACTGAGTTATATCTACCCCAAGGACTTTGGATACAAGACTGTGAGCCTGTATCTGCCACATTCACTAATTCGCTCCTCACTTACCTCAAATTGTTCTGACTTTTCTGGGTGATCCTGGAATGCCATATTTTGGAAAGAAGTTGTGGTCTGTTGAAATAAATTCTTCAAAGCAATTATCTCTTTTGTGAAGGAATGTCTTTCTTGGATTTCAGTCTGCACTAATTCTTTATTTTTTTGAACTTTCTGAAGAAGCCTAAAAGAGAACATCAAAATATAATTGTTTCTTTATCCTGCTCTTCTGTGAAACAGTTTTATTGCAACAATTAATGAAATGCCTGAATAGTTCCTAAAGGACAGTTATTTCCTCTAAGAAAAAAGTAACAATTTTTGATAATGGATATACCACATATACAAACAGGTACAAAATCTTATCACTTAATCAAATACCTCTCCAAACCTTTCGCCCCAAATATTCTCTTTTTCACATATTCCATTGTAACTGACATCTCTGTCCTCTCTTTTTCTCCATGTAACCCTTGAGCTCAAATGAAAATGACTTAGAGGTGTGAATGGAATCATGGGTAGGCTTCTGGGGATAGACAACCCCACTGGTCTTCTTCTCTTAAGCTGATTCATTTTGCTGTGGATGTAGCAAATATCCGAAGAGGCATTGAAGTGGGTAAAATCTTTCCTGAGGGTTATTTGGTAAGTATCTATGATATTGTGATATAATAAATATATACTTGATCTCTGCTCTGGTTCCTGAGACAGAGCTCTTAATACCTTTGTAGATAGGAGTGCTAGCTAGGAGTCTTTTGTCCTAATATTTGATTTTTGACCAGTTCCTGACGCAGAGCTCCTAAGTCCTTTGTAATTTCCTGAGTGATAGGAGCATCTTTAGTTCTAAGGAGGCAACTCTAGGTGGGATCCTGAGTAGCCTCAGGATGAGGGCTGGTTGCCAGGGGAACCAACTATGTGATTAAAAGGTTGGAACTTTCAGTACCACCCCTACCTCCAACACACACCCCCAGCCTCTGCGGGAGGGGACAGAAGCTCAAAGTTGAGTTGATTGCCAATGGTCAATTATATAATCAATCATAATGAATTCATAATGAGACTACATAATGAAATCTCCATAAGAAACCCCAAAAGACAGGGCTCACAGAGCTTCTGGATTGCTGAAAGCCTGGGGGTTCCACCACCCAGAGAAAACAGGGAAGCCTCAGGCCCCTTCCTATACCGTGCCTCAGGCACCTCTTCCATCTGGCTGTTCATCTGTATCCTTCATTAGACTCTTTATTAATAAACTGGTAAACATGACTAAAGTGTTTTCTTGAGTTCTATGAGCCACTCCAGCAAATTAATTGAACTCAAGAAAGGTATCAAAGGATCCCTTGATTTATAGCCTATCAGCCAGAAGTGTACCGGCAGGGCACAGCGGGTCACGCCTGTAATCCCAACACTTTGGGAGGCTGAGAAGAGTGCATCACCTGAGGTCAGGCGTTCGAGATCGCCCTGGCCAACATGGGCAAAGTGCTGGGATTACAGGCGTGAGCCACCATGCCCGGCCACAGCTAGTTACATTTGAAAAGAACATTTAATGGCATAGGAAGGCAAACATGATTTGCTGGTAAATTATTCAGCAGAATATAAAACAGTACAAGTATTTTGATCTCAATTTATTTAAAAACAAAATCATAGTAAAAAAGGAGAAAAAAATGATTAGCAGTGGTTATTGCTGAGTGGTGACATTAAGGTAGATTTTTATATTAATTTTCGTAATTTTCAGTTTCTGAATTTCTTTTTTTTTTTTTTTTTTTTTTGAGGCAGAGTCTCGCTTTGTCACCCAGGCTGGAGTACAGTGGCGCACTCTCCGCTCACTGCAAGCTCTGCCTCCCGGGTTCACGCCATTCTCCTACCTCAGCCTCCAGAGTAGCTGGGACTTATAGGCACCTGCCACCACGCCTGGCTAACTTTTTGTATTTTTAGTAGAGACAGGGTTTCACCATGTTAGCCAGGATGGTCTTGATCTCCTGACCTCATGATCTGCCCACCTTGGCCTCCCAAAGTGCTGGGATTACAGGAGTGAGTCACTGAGCCCGGCCTGAATTTCCTATAATAAATATATATTACTAAACTAGAAAAAGGGCAAAAAAAAAAAAAAATCACAAATGACAAAAAAGGAAACTGGAAGGATATTCACCCTCGTTAATACCAGGATGGAAAATGTGTGCTTAATTACAGTTATTAATCTGTTCTATCCCTTTTTATACCTATCAGTGTTGTCTCACCTCAATTCTATTGTATCATTTGCCATTATTCTATACTTTTAGATTTTCTAAATGTTGAGCCATAATTGTCAAGCACATGTCCTTAACAGTTTTTCATAAATCTTACTTGTTGCATCGTTGTTGCATAGAAGTAATTTCTTGAAATGCTGGAACACTTTCCACAGCCCCTGAGCTTTCAGGAACATTCTGGATACTTCTGATGTGCTGAAGAAGTAGAGTCAGTAACAGCTGCTGCTTCTCCACATTCTCTCCATATTGGCATAAACAGTCTAGCAGCTCACAGAGTTCCTCTGTGGTGTATGCCTCTTTTGTTTTGGAAATTTCAGGGAGTTCTTCCTGAAGATTATCTAAAATAATTGCTTCTCGTTCAATCTAATTCAATAAACAAAAAGAACTAAAATAAGTAAAATATACAATTACCATTTCAGGACCTGAAGTAGCCATAATTTTTGTATGCTCTCTCTTCAAATGGTTGCTAGTGCCATATCCTACCATGTTTTCCTATAGCTGGGAATATTAATCCTCTGCTATCAGAATCCCTTAATTCCCAGCTATTGCTCATGTTGATGTGTGACTGAAATAGAGTACTGCTGTTGTGGTATGAAGGAAATGCTGTTGAATATCCTCATAAATAATTTATTTCTCCTTCAGATTTCAGTTGGATAAAGCAACATTTCTCCTGAGATAAGCACATGAGCTCCACCAAACTGCTTTCACTAAGTATAAGAGGGCAACTATTGGATATGGAAAATTTTTCTGCTGGTCTCTTTTCTTTCACTTCCAATCCCTATATGCTAAAAAAGTAAGTCCAGCAGATTCTCATTACCCTGACACATGACAAAGGTAAAGCAGCCAGAATTACCGAACCAATCAAGTATTTATCAATAATGGTGTACACAGAACTCAGAAATACATAACCTATTACATCACAAATCTAGAAACTGTTCATTCCACCAGCCCTGAACTCAACTAAGATGTAGAAAAAAGTCTCAAAGGCCCCTGAATCAGGTCATTCTTACGCCTCCCCTTGAATCCCCTGGCCCACCCCTTGGCTACAGTACTCATTTATCACATCCTGCCTCAGTGATGGTTAACTCTCCTGCTCCATGTTCAAACACAGTCATGGATCTTGCAATCATGACATTACAGGATGTCACTCCAGTCATCTATGTTTATGATATCATACTAACTGAAATGGTGAGGACCTGAATGGAGTCAGACATGCCAGAGGGTGAGAAACAAAGCCTGTGAAAATTCAGGAGCCCCAGTATCAGGGCCTGGGGCATGCCAGGACTTCTCTATGGTAAAGGTCAAGTTGTTCAATCTTGTAACTCTACCACTAAGAAAGAGACACAGCACTGAATGGACCTTTTGAGGTCTGGGAGGCAGTATATGCTATCCTTGGGATTACTGCTCAGATGCATTTATCAGAATGCTGCCAATGTCAAGAGAGACCTGGAGAAAAAGCACCACAGCAGGGTCGGGCTGTGGTATAAGCTGCCCTGCCATTTGGGCTATATGATCCAGTTGGGTACCCAATAACTAGAATACATGGATGCAGATGTAGACTGGCCACTGTCCAAGAGGCCCAGGTGTGCAATGGGTGCTTCTCATCACCTCAAACCTAAATTCAGTTGAATTAGAAGTCCTGGTTCTTTGCCAGACAGCTACACTTCCACCAGGGAATGAGATAAGGGTTGCACTGCATCATTTTGTGTCCCCCGGCTGGAAACTAGCATGCAAATAAAGAAACTGCTACATTGATGGGGGAATTGTACATGTAGGGTTTCCAATGTGCATCAGGGTTGAAAAAACTGTCTGTAATCCAGGACTTAATGGGGTACCTCTTGGTGCTTACGCACCAGAAATGGGCAGATTTAACTTGATAATAACCAGAATTATTATCAAGCTGTAGCAACCACGATCCAGTAAGAGTAAAAAGACGAAAGGCTCAGACCTTTCCTGTTTCATTTCCCCTCATCTCCCACTCCTGTTCCCTGGGATCACTTTCCAAAATAAACTACCATTTGCAAGCCTCAGTCCCAAACTCTGGTGTCCACTGAGAAGTTGGTAAGTGATTGAGAACGGGGAATACAAGAGGGAGAACAATATATACATATATATTTTTTCTTTGAGACAGAGTCTCTCTCTGTCACCCAGGCTAGAGTGCCATGGTGTGATCTCAGCTCACTGTAACCTCCACCTCCTAGGTTCAAGCAATTCTCTCCCTCAGTCTCCCGAGTAGCTGGGATTACAGGCATCCGCCACCATGCCTGGCTAATTTTTTTGTATTTTTAGTAGAGACAGGGTTTCACCATCTTGGCCAGGCTGGTCTTGAACTCCTGACCTCGTGATCTACCCACCTTGGCCTCCCAAAGTGCTGGGATTACAGGCGTCAGCCACGGTGCCTGGCCAGAGTTTTTATTAGGACAATAATTTTACCCCAAAGCCAGGCAATTCTTCAACTTGGGAATGAATAAACAAACTGTATTACACCCACCCAAAGCAATACTAGTCAGGAATAAAGAGAAATGAATTACGAATACAAGCAGCAGCAAGAATGAATTTCAAGTGCATTATGCTTAGGGGAGAAAAGCAAACTCAAAGGGCCACAAACTGTAAGGAGTCCATCGATATGACATTCTGGAAATGGAAATACTATGGGAACAGAAACAGATTAACGTTCCAGGGGTTGGAGGTTACGGAAGGCACTGACCACAAAGAGGAACAGGGGAAACTTCTAGGGTGACAGAATTGTCTTAAACATTGATTTTGTTGGTGATCATGTGATCGTGTGCACTTGTCGGAACAACACATTTTACGCTAAAAAGTGTGAAGACAGTCCTAGAATCAGTAAAATAGTTGCAAAAAGCCTGTGCATTCACTTTTCCACCTAGAAGAGGCTTTGCAGAGGCCTTGATGATTTTCCTTAGACATGGGATCCTAATAAAATCGGTTATAAAACTTTTAGGTTCATGGTCAATTGTAAAGTTTGGTCTAGAAAGGGAGAAGGACCCATAGTTGCATCATAAGCAAATCCAATGAAGGAGACCGAAAAACCCAGAACCAGCAGAAAAGGGACTCAACAAAGAAATGACTGTTGGTGCAAGTGGGAGAAGCCGGCCTCACATCTCCAATCATCTTTGACAATGTGATGTTCTTCTAGCACATTATGATCATCGAAGCAAAAAATGATGATTCTGAATAACCCAAGTGAATAGTTATAGTAAAGAGATTTTGCTTAAGAAAACAGGGAAGTAAAATTTTAGGGGGACACAAGTTCTATCAAAATTTAAATTTAGTTTTTAATTTGTAAACTTATAAACAGGCATTTAAGTTTTTTAAAAGTCTACTGATATAAACTGTTTATTTCATCAAGACTGGATTATTATGTTACTATAGATGACATGTTTAAAGCAGAAATTCACTTTGTCATATATAAAAGCACCAACCATGCTAACAGAAGCTTACATGTATGAGCTGTTAGACGATGTAATTTTTATTGAATGGATAAAAGCTACATTAAAATCTTATATCAATTTGATGTATGTAAATATCATGTAAGTTAACAGATTAATGGCTAAGCACCAGAGTCTAAGTTTGAATCCTCTACTATCCCTTGTGAATTTGAGCAAGTTACTCAGTCTCACCGTGTCTCATTTTCCTCATCTACAAAGTAGGGATAATAAAAATATCCTCACAGAATTCTTGAATAGTGCTCTGAACTATGCCTGCCACATAATAATTGCTCAATTTAGTAGTTGTTTTTATTATTGTTATTACAGGGAAGCATTTTTTTTTGGCTTGTGCTACTCTGAAAAATATTTTGTTAGCAGATTTTGTCAAACGCTTGTGTGAATAATTAGAAAGTTCTGTATGAATGGAGTCTGAATAACACATAATTGCAAATGGGTATATAGCAATAATGTGATAAAATAAAAAGAGCAAAATCTTAGAATTAGCCTAGACCTGAATTTAAGTAAGAGATGTCCCTCAACAAATATTTACTAAGTGCCCACTAAGTGCAGGGCCCTAGCCAGGTTCCAAGGTTACAGCAGTGAGCAAGACAGCCCCAGCCGCAGCCCACAGGGGCTTACAGGTTAATCAATCTCTACCTGGGGGCCTTGTGCCATTACTTAATCTGTCAGTGCTTCAGTTTCCCCATCTATAAAATGGTGATAATATTTACTTCCCAGGGACAATGCAAAGATTCAGTAAGAACAGGTGTGAACTGCCTTCTCAGCACAGCATAGTAACTCAACAAATGGTACCATTATGGACAGGCAAGCACTGATGCCAGCAGCCCCAACCAAAAGTGTAATTTATAAAGTTTATTTTAACATTCAAGAGACTATTCACTAGTCAGTCCTCATCAGGACCACTGACATAATATTCATTTTTAAGGACAATAGTCATAAGCAAGATAATATGATAGTGCTAAACATTTCATCCCAAGATAACTTTATGTTGTTTTTTTTTTGTTTGTTTGTTTTTGAGACAGGGTCTCGTTCTGTTGCCCAGGCTGGAATGCTAGAATACAGTGGCGTGATCATGGCTCACTACAGTCTTGACCTCTCCTCAAGAGATCCTCCCACCTCAGCCTCCCAAGTAGCTGTGACTACAGGCATGTGCCACCAGGCCCAGATTTTTTAAATTTTTTGTAGAGATGGGATTCACTCCATTGCCTGGGCTGTTCTAGAACTCCTGGGCTCAAGCAATTCTCCTGTCTCAGCCTCCCAAAGTGCTAGGATTACATATGTGAGCCACTGCACCCAGCTATCTTTAATTTTCTAAATTAATTTTCTTTCTAAATATAGGTGATACCTAAATCCTGAACCAAGGCTAAATTAACATTTGTGATTGATACATATCATGCAGGTTTTGAGACCATTTTCAAAAAGAACATCATAACCTCACATATTTTTAGGTCCACATTTAACAATTACAGTTAATTTCCATAGCTAAAAATTATAGTTAATTTCAAAATTATTTGGTGATTATGCAAATTACCTAATTCTAACCTTCAGTATAACGTAGAGACAGTTATTTCCGAGAGGGGTGAAGTTATTTTCACGATAAAGACTGTAATGCTCAAACCAGCTAGTGGTCACTTATTAATAAGAATTATCTGCTACCAAAAAAAGGCACTACTATAAAATAATCCGAATAAGTTACTGGAGGTTATCTTAATAAGGCCTGACATCTATAAACATTTATGTATCACGTATAAGTGATGTGCACAAGTAGTATAGCCTGACGACTCGTTTTATAGAAAAACAAGGTGAAAGTAATAAAACAATTTAAATAACACGTTAGAAACTACATGGTTTGTTGAAAATGAAGCACTCACTTCTTCACTGACAAATTTCCATTCCTGCTTCAGTTCTTCACACCACATCTCCCACTCTTTAGCAGCTTCCAGCAAACTCAGCCATTTCTCCCACAGAGCCGACACAATCTTCAGCAAACATATGCCATCATTTTCTGTGCACCTGAGTCTCAAGAGTCTAAGGATCTGTCGTAGTTTCATTAATTCTTCTTTGGTTGATGTAAGATTTGACACCAAGTCCTTAGGAAAGAAAAGAAAAAAAAATAAGAGGGACATACTGTTAGCTTTTTCCTGAAACTTACAAACTCTTTCAAATTCTGAACAATTAATTATTTCAATCTTCCATAAGTATTGCATGATCTACTTCTTATTCTTTTAGAAGTCAATTTAGACCAGATGAGAATTATCTATGTATTATTGTATTCTGCATGAATTTGAGACTACAGGGACAAATAATGACCCATAAACCATTTTTTTCCAAGAAAGAAAGTACTTTCAAAAGCAAATATTTGCCAGACGCAGTGGCTCATGCCTGTAATCCCAGCACTTTGGGAGGCCAAGGTAGGTAGATTACGAGATCAGGAGATCGAGACCATCCTGGCCAAATGGTGAAATCCCATCTCTAATAAAAACACAAAAATTAGCTGGGCATGGTGGCATGCGCCTGTAGTCCTAGCTACTCAGGAGGCTGAGGCAGGAGAATTACCTGAACCTGGGAGGCAGAGGTTGCAGTGAGCTCAAGTCGCACCACTGCACTCTAGCCTGGGCAACAGAGTGAGACTCCGTCTAAAAAAAAAAAAAAGAAATTCTATAAGAGGCTGGGCACAGTGGCTCATGCAGCATTTTGGGAGACGGAGGCAGGAGGATTGCTTGAGGCCAGGAATTCAAGACAGACTGGGCAACATAACAAGACTCTGTCTCTACAAAAAATTAAAAAATTAACCAGGCATGGTGGTATATGCCTATAGCCCCAGCTACTCAGCTGGCTGGGGTGGGAGGATCCTTTGAGGCCAGAAGCTCAAGACTGTGATAAGCCATGATTACACCTTTGTACTCCAGCCTGGGTGACAGAACAAGACTCTTTCCTATTAAAAAAAAAAACAAAAAAAAACCTAGAAGTACAATAGCCATCATTATCTGGGTTTCTCCTTTCAAGGTTTCAGTTACTTGTGATCAACAATGGTCCAAAAATATTGAAAAATTCCAGAAGGAAAAAATGTATAAGATTTATTTGTATAAAATGTATGTTTTATTTGTATACAAATATATAAGTGCTATTCTGACTAGTGTGATGAAATCTCATGCCATCTCTCTCCATCCCACCTGGGATACGAATCTTCCCTTTGTCCAGCACATTCATGCTGTATATGTTCCCTGCCTACGAGTTATTCGGTAGCCTTCTTGGTGATCAGATCAACTGTTGTGGTATCAAATGCTTGTGTTCCAGATGAATAGTAGCCCAACGTTACCTCACCATGGCTATATCATTTCATTTCATCACTTCATTTCATTACCTCACTTCATTTCATCACCCAGGCACTGTATAGTCTCACGTCATCACAAGAAGGGTGAAAACAGTACAATGACATATTTTGAGAGAAAGGGACCACATTCACATAACTTTTATTACAGCATATTGCTATAATTACTCTGTTATTGTTGTTGACCTGACTGTACATAATTTATAAATTAAACTTTATCACAGGCATGTATAGGAAAAAAATTATAAACAGAGTTCAGTGGTATTCACAGTCTCAAGCATCCACTGAGTGTCTTGGAACATATCCCCTGTGGATAAGGGGGGACTACTGTACATTTTGTTATTTTAACCTAAGTCTCACATTTCACTAATTAGTTCCTTTGCACAATACTTCCTATATCAACCACCAACACAATATTAAAAGGTTTTTCTTGGTTTGCTTTTGTTTTTGGTGAATGTTAACTATAGATGATTTAGAAAGTCCTCATCAAAATCCTAATAACATAATACCATAGATTCTAACAGATGAAAATAAGCAAAAGCTCAAATTACTTTATAACAGTCTAATAAGTAACCAGAACTTAGAGCTTATGACAGTTGCAGTAAGCAATCAGTGGACAATAAGGCTCTGTCATGGATCCAGCAGCATCCCTCAAAGTCACATGAGAGGTGACGCTTTAGAAAAGCCACGAGTGAGGACAGGATGCTATTGGGGGATGACTGCCTGTGAACCTGATTAATTAAATCTCTCAGTATCATTGCTTCATTTCCTTCCTTCTGGCTTTTTAAGCTTCAATATATTACATAAGGCCAGGCACAGTGGCTCACACCTGTAATCCCAGCACTTTGAAGGGCCGAGGCTGGAGGATCGCTTGAAGTCAGGAATTCAAGAGCAGCCTGGGCAACATAGTGAAACCCCGTCTCTACTAAAAATACAAAAATTAGCCGGGCATGGTAGCAGGCACTGTAATCCCAGCTAGTCAGGAGGCTGACGCAGGAGAATCAAATCACTTGAACCTGGGAGGTGGAAGCTGCAGTGAGTCAAGACTGCATGACTGCATTGCAGCCTGGGCAAGACTCTGTCTCAAATATACATATAACATTACCCTCTGGCTTTTGATTTGAGGAATATTCATTTGATTTGAGGTATTTAACTCAGCGTGAAGATTTCTATGGGTCATAACAGGGCCACATTCTCTGCTGTCTCTGCCAGTTTTGCAATTTTTTGCACACAGACTTAGTGGCTAATTGCCAATACTATTACCTTGCTCTGTTCCAAGCGCTCTAAAGCTTCTCTGTAAGACAGTGGCAACGAGGACATGGACTGTCCAAGAACTGTCTCCATTTTGCTGAGGTTAGTGTAAATATCCTCTTCAAGTTTTCTATAGCATTTGTAATTCTCAAGATACCTAGTGAGTCACAGTTAGAAAAAAAAGTGGTATTAAATTTTATTTAACACAATAAATTCAAAATTTTCCAGAAAAAATACTCCACACTTAATTTTTAAGAAAATACATGACAACTTTCTTTTTTGCTAGCCAATGCATCTTCTAAGAAGGTTTTATTCCCAAAGGGACCTGCATATGGGTTTAAATGCAAACTTGAAAAGGAAGGAAGGGCTGTCCTCTAAACTGAAGATTTTTTTCCCTAAAGTTCACTTCAGTAAAATGAAAACACACTGATGAGTAAGTTTGTATTCTCAAATACACTGATGAGCTGTAAATTGGTACAATTCTTGTGGAAAACCACTCAGTCTTAAAACGATTCCTATCTTTGACCCATTAATGCAGCTTCTGCAATTTACCTTAAGAACTGTATCCTAAACATATGGAACTTATCCTAAATCTTTTGCACAGTAAAACATCTTTACTCACTAGACTGTTAATTAAAACAGCACATATTGGAATACCCTTATCTAACAAAGGTATGATTAAGAAATTAAAATGATTCATTGTATACAATATTATAGAGTAATTACAATTACTTTTACAAAGTATTTGTTATAATCAAGAAAAGAACTGTTACAAAATTTTAAAATAAAGCTGGATATTTGATATATATAGCATATATATTTTAAAACATTATAAAATTATGCATACAAAAACAGACACAGGCTAAATCCTCCATTGAACGTAACTAAAAACTCTGTATCAAATTATTCTTAAAAAGCAATTCTTAAAACACATGAATAAATTGACAGGGAATTGCGGAGTCAAACTGTAAAATGGAAATAAACAGAAATAGGCAAAGTTGTAGGACCAGTTTTTTGCCTTGAGGGCACCTGAGTTTCAGTCTTCTTTGATTCCTACTGAAAGGTGGGGGACAGACCATAAAGCTGGCAGTCAATCCCAGGATGAGTGTCTAATAGAAAACTCCCTCTGCACGAATATTTGTAACACATATAACTAGAAAGGACCACTCTCTAAAGTAGAGAATTCCTAGAAATCAGTAAGAAAAAAACAACCAATAAAATTGGGTTAAGGCTTGAATAAGCATTTTACGGAAGAGAAAACATGAATGACCAATAAACATTCAAAAAAAGAGATCAAACTAATTAGCAGTAACAGAAGTGCAAATTAAAACCACGATGAAATACCTCTTCTTACTCATCAGATGGGCAAAAATTAAGTCTCACAATATCAAACGTTGGCAAGGATATGGGACAACCGGAATACTTATATGCTGCTGGTTTGAGTAGAAATTGGCAAAATCATTTGGCATTAAAAATTTAAGATGTCAGGCCAGGTGCGGTGGCACATGCTGATAATCCCAGCACTTTGGGAGGCCAAGGAGGGCCGATCACTTGAGGTCAGGAGTTCGAGACCAGCCTGGCCAACATGGTGAAACCCCGTCTCTACTAAAAATACAAAAATTAGCTGGGCATAGTGGCACGTGCCAGTAGTTCCAACTATTTGGGAGGTTGAAGCAGGAGAATCGCTTGAACCCAGGAGGCAGAGGTTGCAATGAGCTGAGATCGTGCCACTGCACTCCAGCCTGGGCAACAGAGCGAGATTCCATCTCAAAAAAAAAAAAAAAAAAAATTTAAGATGTCCATAACCTCTTATTCTGAATGATCACACTCCTAGATATTTATCCAAGGGAAGTTATTACACTTAAAAATTTTCCTAAGTAGTACTGTTTCTGAATGCAAAAACTGGAAGCAATCCAAATGTCCATCAATAGCTAAGTAAATAAATTTTACTAAGAACATGAATAAACCTCAGTCGCAATGATGGGTTTGAAAAAATGAAGTGAGGTATGCAGGAGGGGCAAGATGACTGAATAGAAGCCTCTACTTATCATCATCCCACAGGAACACCAAATTTGACACCTATCTCCATACAAAAGCAACTTCATAAAAAACAAAAATTACGTGACCAATCATAGTACCGAGTTTTAACTTCATATCTCTGAAAGAGGCATGGAAGAGGATAAAAAAGGTAGTCTTGAATTGCTGATACCACTCTTCACCCATCCCCCAGCAGCAGTAGCATGGCAGGAAGAATCCGTGTGCTTGGGGGAGGGAAAGTGCAGCAACTAGGGGACTTTGCATTAGAATGCAGTGCTGCCAACATAGGACAGAACTCAGCCAGCATGAAGCATTTAAACTAGCCCTAGCCAGAGGGCAACTGCCCATCCCAGTGGTTGAAACTAGAATTGCAGCAAGCCTCGCCACCTCGGCCTAAAGTACTCTGGGGTCCTAAATAAACTTGGAAGGTTGTCGAGACCACAAATACTGCAACTCCTAGGTAAGTCCTACTGCTGTGCTACAATCAGCCAGTGGACTTGCTGGGGCAAGCGATCAAGTGAGACACCAGCCAGGGAAGTTAAGGGAGTCCTTGGCATTACCCCTCCTCCAACCCCATGAACCACAGCTCACAGTTCCAAAAGAGACTCCTTCTCTCTACTTGAGGAGAGGAGAGGGAAGAGTAAAGAGGACTTTGTCTTGCAACTTGGATACCAGCTAAGTAGGACTGGGTACTGGGCAGAGTCATGAGGCCCCCATTCCAGGACCTAGCTCCTAGATGACATTTCCAGACACACCCTGGGCCAGAAGGGAACCCACTTCCTTGAAGGGAAGGACCCAGTCCTGGCAGGATTCATTGCCTGCTGACTAAAGAGCCCTAGGGCCCTGAATAATCAACAGTGGCAACCAGGTAGTACACACAGTGGGCTTTGGGTGAGACTGAGACATGCTGGCTTCAGGTGGGACTCAGCACCTTCAAACTGTGGTGGCTACCAAGAGAGGCTCTTTCTGCTTGAGAAAGCAGAGAAAAGAGTAAAGGAGACTGTCTTGAGCTTAGGTACCAGCTCAGCCACAGTGGGGAAGAGTACTAAGTGAGCTCTTGGAGTCTAGGTATTAGCTCTTGGACAGTACCTCTGGACCCAGTCTGGGCCAGAGGATAGAGCCCACTGCCCTGAACGGTGAGTCCCAGGCCTGGCAGCATTCACAAGCCGACTGAAGATCCCTTGAGCCTTTAGTGAACATGAGCAGTAGCCTGGCAGTACTTTCTGTGGGCCTGCAGTGGTGGTAGACATGGGGAAAGGGGAGACAAGATGTGAAGGACTTTGTCTTGTGGCTTGAGTGCCATCTCAGCAACAGTAGCACACAGCACCAGGTAGATTCCTAAGGTTTCCAACTCCAGGCACTGGCTCCCAGACAGCATATCTGAACTTACCTAGGTGCGGGGCAACTCGCCACCCTTAAGGGAAGGACACAAGCCTGGCTGGCTTCATCACCCATTGATTGTAGAGCCCTAGGGCCTTGAGCAAACATGGGCAATAGCCAGGTACTATTTACAGAGGGCCTTGGGCAAGGCCCAGTGCTGATGCTGTGCTGACTTCAGCTCTGATCCAGTGCACTCCCTGTAGTGGTTGCCACAAGGGTGCTTGTTTCACCTCTACCCCAGCGCTAGACAGCTCAGCACACAGATTCTGTTTGTTTGGGAGAAAGTGAGGGAAAACAATAAGAGTCTCTGCCTCCTAATCCAGAGAATTCTTCCAGATCTTATATAAGACCACCAAGATGGTAGCTCTATGACTCTGCAAAAACCACAGCATTATTAGGCTGGGGGTATCCCGTAATGCAGATATGACTACCATGACCAAAAACTTAGATCGCAACACTCAAGTCTCTTAGAATACCTGGAAAGCCTGCCCAAGAAGGATAGGTACAAACAACCCCAGATTGTGACTAAAATAAATGCCTGACTCTTCAATACCCAGACACTGACAAATATCCACAAGCATCAAGACCATCCATGAAAAAATGACTTCACCAAACAAACTAAATAAGGCACCAGGAACCAATTTCAGGAAGAGAAATATGTGACCTTTCAGACAGAGAATTCAAAATAGCTGTTTTGAGGAAAATCAAAGAAATTCAAGATAACAGAGAAGGAATTCAAAATCCTATCAGATAAATTTAACAAAGGGATTGAAATAATCAGAAAGAATCGAGCAAAATTCTAGGGTTGAAAACTGCAATGGACATACTGAGGAATGCATCAGAGTCTCTTACCAGCAGAATTGATCAAGCAGAAGAAAGAATTACTAAGCTTGAAGACAGGACAATTTGAAAATACATTTGAAATGTATTTCAAAATACAAAATACAATTTGAAAATACACAGTCAGAGGAGATAAAAGAAAAAAGAATAGAAAAAAAATAAAGCATGCCTACAAAATCTAGAAAATAGCCTCAAAAGGTGAATCCTTTAAGAGTTATTAGGCTGGACACAGTGGCTCACACCTGTAATCCCAACACTTTGGGTGGCAGAGGAGGGCAGATTACTTGAGGTCAGGAGTTCGAGACCAGCCTGGCCGACATGGGGAAACCCTGTCTCTACTGAAAATACAAAATAGTAGCCAGTGTGGTGGCTTGTGCCTGTAATCCCAGCTACCTGGGAGGCTGAGGCATGAGAATTGCTTGAATCTGGGAGGTTGCAATGAGCCAAGACTGTGCCATTGCACTCCAGCTTGGGTGACAGAGTAAGACTCTGTCTCAAAAGAGAAAAAAAGAGTTATTGGCCTTAAAGAAGAGGTAGAGGGAGAGATAATGGGTTGAAAGTTTACTCAAAGAGTTTACTCAAAGAGATCATAACACAGAACTTCCCAAACCTATAGAAAGATATCAATAAATGGTTCTGGGAAAACTGGATTATCTATCTATATCTTCAACTAGAAAAATGAAACTAGACCCCCATCTCTCATCATATACAAAATTAAAATCAAAATGGATTAAAGACTTAAATCTAAGACCTATGAAACTACTAAAAGTAGTGGCCGGGCGCAGTGGCTCAAGCCTGTAATCCCAGCACTTTGGGAGGCCGAGGCGGGCGGATCACGAGGTCAGGAGATCGAGACCATCCTGGCTAACACGGTGAAACCCCATCTCTACAAAAAAATACAAAAAACCTAGCCGGGCGAGGTGGACGGCGCCTGTAGTCCCAGCTACTCTGGAGGCTGAGGCAGGAGAATGGCATGAACCTGGGAGGCGGAGCTTGCAGTGAGCCGAGATCCGGCCACTGCACTCCAGCCTGGGTGACAGAGCCAGACTCTGTCTCACAAAAAAAAAAAAAAAAAAAAAAACTACTAAAAGAAAACATTGGGAAAAACTCTCTAGGACACCAGAAAGGGCAAAGACTTCTTGAATAATAATACCCCACAGGCACAGACAACCAAAGCAAAAATGTACAAACAGGATAACATCAAGTTAAAAAGCTTTTGCACAGCAAAGGAAATAATCAACAAAGTGAAGAGACAACCCACAGAATGAGAGAAAATATTTGCAAACTACCCATGTGACAAGGGATTAATAACCAGAATATATAAGGAGCTCAAATAACTGTACAGGAAAAAAAGTAATAATCCAATTAAAAAATAGGCAAAAGATCTGGATAGACATTTCTCAAAAGAAGACATAAAAATGGCAAACAGATATGGAGGTGTTCAGTATCACTGACCATCAGAGAAATGTAAATCAAAACTATAATGAGACATCATCTTACCTAGTTAAAATGGCTTTTAGCCAAAAGACAGGCAATAATAAATGCTGGCAAGGATGTGGAGAAAAGAGAACCTTCATATGCTGTTGGTGGTAATGCAAATTAGTACAACCACTATGGAGAACTATTTGGAGAAGCCTCAAAAAAACTAAAAATAGAGCTACTATATGATCCTGGAATCCCAAAAGAATCAGTATATTGAAGAGATATCTGCACTCCCATGTTTAGTGCAGCATTATTCACAATAGTCAAGATTTGGAAGCAACCCAAGTGTCCATCAACAGATGAGTGGATGAAGAAAATGTGGTATATATACACAAAGGAGTACTATTTAGCCACTAAAAAAAACCCAAAAAACCGAGATCCTGTTATTTGCAACAACATAAATGGAACTGGAGGTCATTATGTTAAGTGAAATAAGCAAGGCACAGAAAGACAAACATCACATATTCCCACTTATTTGTGGGATCTAATAATCAAAACAATTGAATTTGTGAACACAGAGAGCAGCAAGGATGGTTACCAGAGGCTGGGAAGGGTAGTGGGGGAGGTGGAAGGGAGATGGTAAATGGGTACAAAATAACAGAAAGAATGAATAAGCTCTAGTATGGATAGCACCACACAGTGACTACATTCAATAATAATTTAACCGTACATTTAAAAATAACTAAAAGAGTACAGTTGGATTGTTTGTAACACAAAAGATAAATGCTTGAAATGATGAATATCTCATCTACCCTGATGCAATTAATACACAGCGATTACCTGTATCAAAATATTCCATATATGCCATAAATATATATACCTATATACTCACAAAAATTAAAAATTAAAAAAAGAAGTAACAGAAGAATGTACACAATAGGTATTAGCTGGAAATTGTGAAAACAGGACACACAAACACATAGTAAAAGCACAACTGGGAGTTGAAGACCAGCCTGACCAACATGGAGAAATCCCATCTCTACTAAAAATACAAAAAATTGCCATACATGGGTGGTGTATGCCTGTAATCCCAGCTACTCGGGAGACTGAGGCAGGAGAATTGCTTAAACTCGGGAGGCGGAGGTTGCAGTGAGCCAAGATCGTGCCATTGCACTCCAGCCTGGGCAACAAAAGCGAAACTTTGTCTCAAAAAAAAAAAAAAGTACAACAATAGTCAGGAAAATGGTAAACAAAATTTGGGAGAAGGATGGTTATTTCTGAGAAGAGAGAGGAGCATACAAGAGAACTCAAATTAATAATGTACCTTTGGGTACAAAGATGTTAGTTTTATCATTATTACTTATACCATGCATATACTTTTATAAGCACTCTATTGTATGTACCCAATATTAAATAAGAAAAAAAAAAAAAAACAGAAGAAATACAATATTTACCAGAGCTTTCTTTACATTGCAATTTTTTTCTACTTTACCATATTTTCCAAATTATCTCTAATGTATGTGTTAATGATAGAGAAAAAAACCTATATTTTATATTCTAAAAACTATTAAAATATAGTTTAATTATATTTTAAAACGATCTCTTATGTTCTTAAAGATTATCTTTGGAAGAAGACTTACCTTTCTGCCTCATTTTTCCGTGCTTTGAAAGTTTCCTTCATTGCTGAGTTCTTAGAAACTAGTTCCTGTAAAGTACACTGAAGTTGTAGTTTGGCTTCAGGGCTGGATATCATTCCCAGTTTCCCAGTGAGGTCCTGGATATGTGCTATTGTGGATTCCAATTCCTCTTGTTTTCGAAGAGGCATTTCTAGAGATTCATCTGGATTACCAACATCTACTCTGTAGGGTATAATGGTGGCTTCGAGGGAAGTGATGCTCTCCACTGCCCTGGTGACTGCTCCTTTATAGCGTGTTAGATTTTCATAAGCATCATTCAAGACATTCTAGTGAATAGGAGATTAAATGCTGTGACAAAATTGTCAAACTTTTGGAATTTCTCATTCTTAAGTTTTTGTGGTACATTCATAATATGTCTTTAAGTCTCATAAGAGTTAGCATTCACATATTTACAGTTTGACAATATTACACTATTATTTCTAAGTGAATAACATTGCATTAAAAAAGTTGTTTCCAGGCTGGGCGTGGTGGCTCACACCTATAATCCCAGCACTTTGGGAGGCCGAGGCAGGTGGATCACGAGGTCCGGAGTTCAAGACTAGCCTGGCCAATATGGTGAAACCCCATCTCTACTAAAAATACAAAAATTAGCTGGGCATGGTGGCGCATGCCTGTAGTCCCAGCTACTTAGTAGGCTGAGGCAGGAGAATTGCTTGAACCCAGGAGGCGGAGGTTGCAGTGAGCCAAGATAGTGTCACTGCACTCCAGCCTGGGCGACAGAACGAGACTCCGTCTCAAAACAAAACAAAATCAAAGTTGTTTTCACATTTAATAAGAAAAATAATCTAAGTTCAAAATAACATCTCAAGAACAATGTCTATTAATTTATCTTCCTGCTTTGGAAATCTTGTACTAGACTATGAATTAAATAAAACAATGAATTATGTTTAATGTATATAACCTTAATCAGTATTTGTGAACAAATGAAAAGAAAACAAAATCTGCAGATCTTTTAAGTTTTTAAACTAATTTCTCTGTCACTAACTTTAGTTTAGCTACATCATTGAATGAATGTCTCCAGACTTCAGTCATCTCACTGAAATAACAAATATAGTTGAAATAAATAAAGGTCCAGTTCAGTTCTAATCCTATTATTTTTGGGATTTGTGCACATTGTTTCCTGAAACTGTATTAAAATTCAAGTGGAGAAATACTCAAATTACTCATTTATTACAAAAGTATTTAAGGAATATAAGTTCATAATACTTCATATTTCCATAGCATTTACACCTATCAAAATATTCCAAATATAGTATCTCTCAATAACTCTTCAAATTAGAAAAGGGAGTTAATTTCCCCTTCTATAAATTTAATGTGATCAATCTGAAAACACTATGTATGGCATTATATTCAGCACAGTGTGAATTTCAATGATGCCTAAGATAGCCTCTCTATCAAAAGGAAGGGAATGGAGTGTGCTGGAGTCACTTTCCAACACAGGTGAGCAAATAATCACAATTTACTCAACTCTGCTGCTATAGCATGAAAACAAATACACTCAATACAAAAACAAATGGCTATATTCCAATAAAACTTCATTTATAAAAACCAGGCACTGTGGGAAGGATTTAGCCCATGAGCCTGAATGTGATGTTCCCTGCTCCGGTTCTGTTACTGTTCTCAGGACTCTAAGAAAAATCTTCATGTTTCTAAACTTCGATTTCCTTATTTTTAAACGGGGCTAATAATAGCACCCATCTCACAGAGTTGCTATGAAAATTCAACCTGAAATTTTTAGCACAGTGCCTCCAACACTGTAAGTTCTACATAAATGTTAGTTATTATTTGGTGTTCTTCCCTCTACACTGTAATTCTTCCATTATATCTTACTACCTCTAAAAACAAAACAGAAAACAAATTTTAAAAAATGCTCTGAGCTCAAGAGAGACTACGAGGAAACCAGAAATAAAGGAGTCAGATTTGTCCTTTTCTAAACTAGGAGGCACTGCATTTAAATGCAGTATGAGTCAGGATTACAAAGCAGTTCACTGTAATTTTTGAAAATGGCTATCTTTCTGTAGAGAATTTCCGTGTAGAACCTATAGCTTCTTTAGAACTACAGACATTAGCAAAACAGAAAATCACAAAATAAAAATAGATGCACTAACTGCCCAATTTTATTTTATTTTACTTATTTATTTTTTTTTGAGACAGAGTCTCACTTGGTCACCCAGGCTGGAGTGCAGTGGCAGGATCTTGACTCACTTCCGCCACCCTGGTTCAACTGATTCTTGTACCTCAGCCTCCCGAGTAGCTGGGATTACAAGTATGTGCCACCATACCCAGCTAATTTTTTGGGGTTTTTTTTTGTATTTTTAGTAGAGATGCAGTTTTGCCATGTTGGCCAGGCTGGTCTCTTCCTGGCCTCAAGTGATCTGCCAGCCTTGGTCTCCCAAAATGCTGGTATTACAGGCGTGAGCTCCCGCACCCAGCCACTAACTGCCCAATTTTTAAAACTTACTGTGCGCAAATCAATGCTTGTGTTAAGCTGCATCTGAAGATCTTCAAACTCACGTAGTTTTGTCTCCACATCACTCGCTTCAGAAGACTTTTCTTCTTCTCTTTGCTTATCAATAGCAGTCACAGCTTTAATACTGCACATTTCTGTCCAAACTTGCTCGTGAAATGCTTCACAGTTGTCCTTTTCATTTTGAATATGTTTAATTTCCAAATTTATAAGTAAAGGCTGCTGTAATTGAGATTTTATCTGATTTAAAACATGTAAGGAAGTTTCTAGTTTGTCCTGAAAATTCTTTTCATCCAATTCTTTTGGTGAGAGTTCTAATACCATGTTTTGGAGAACTTTGTATAACTTATCATTTTCTTCAGCATTCAGCTTTATTTGTAGTATTTCTTTCTCTTTGAATGAGTCATCAAAGACCTTATTTTCATTTAAATTCTTTATTATCTCATCACATAAACACTTGGCTTTCTCAATTCTCTGACTTAAAATTTGGGCATTGAGCAATCTGCTTTCTGGAGAGCTATCAGGAGCTTTTAGTACTACTTCAGTCATTTTCTTAATTTGCAAATCAATAGCTCTCATTTTACTTAGTAATGCCTGATATTTGCCATGTTCTTCCTCAAATGTGTCCAACTGCTTAATTTTTTCTTCAAGTTCCTTTTCTTTTTCAAATACTTGGGTTTGTAATTGGTCAAGTTGTGAAAAATCCCAGTTTAGTCCAATATAGTCAAACACTTTTTTAAGTTTCAATACCTGTAAGATGCAACACTTAATAGCGGTGAGTCTGTCTTTAAGATTATAGATCTCCTCTTTAACACCTTTATTTACTTCTTGATTAAGTAGTAGTTCATTGTGCTGTATACTGTCAACCTCCTCCTGAAGCGCTGACGTTTTTTCACGGAATTCTCTGCAAAACTTTATCTTGTGTTCTACTTCATTACATTTATTCTGAATTAATCTTTGTATTCTGTTGGTCCTAATCTTAAGGTTTTTCAACTGATCATCCAGAAATAATCTTTCAAACACATTAAGCTCCTCATAGATGTTTGTTAGTTCCTGAAGATGTGTTGAGATTCCACTGTCAATTTCTTGCAATTCCTTCTGAGATGCCTCCAAAGTAACATGGTGATGTTTTAGTTCAGCTTCCGTGGCAGTTGTCTCCACTCTGGGAATTATCAGTGCTTCACTTTCTTGAACCGTAAGTTGCAACTTCCTTATTATCGCAAAAAAATTGCTTCTTTCTTCCAACTTAAATTCTAATTGCTGTGATCTTTGAGTTGATTTTAAAACCAGCATTTGGTATTGATTCCGTAAGTCCTCTAGGGTATTATTTAAATCACTGCCCTCATAGGTTGTAAGGCTAGGAACCTTATCTTTGACCTCTTCAGCCAACGATTCCACAGACCGCTGCCTAGCTAGAATGCCGTCATGTGTCACTTTGCACTTTCTGATCTGTGAAAGAATGTCATCTGGGAGAAGGGAAATGGAGGGAATAAGTTCGCCCAACAAATTCTTGGCCCATAAGATAGTCTCTTTCATCTTGTTCCTTTTGTCACACTTCTTAATCTGATTTTCTGCTTCTAAGTGTAATGGCTCCAGTGTTTCCCATTGTTTCTTCAAGTTATTTATTCCATCCTCCAAAATCTTCTTTTCTTTTTCTCCCCAAATCCTCTTCATCTGAAGTTCAGCTTGCCCCTTTAAAACAGAAAATCCATGCTTGGTAGCCTGGAGGTCAGTGGTCAAGGCAATCATACTTTGGTTCAATGCCTGTTCTTCTGGAGACTTCAGCCTTAAGTGTAGATGTTGCTGCTGCTGTTGCAGAGAAATCTCAATGTCCCGTATCTTATTCATGAGGGCTGTAAATTCATCATATTCCACTACCTGCTGAGAATACTTCTTTTGAATCTGTTGTTCCATTTGTTCCCAACCATGTTCAAGTTGCTTAATCTGGCTTTCTAACAATTTCTTATCCATGTCAGTCACATGGTTTGATAAATTCTCCCATTTGATTTTCAAGTTGCCTAAAGAATCTTTCTCTTTTTCTATGGATGCTATGAATTTTTTAATTTTGTCCAGATACGTTACACTGTCCAGTGATCCTCTAGAAAAAGAATAAAAATAGAGCTTAATATTTAATGCTTATTCTACATTAAAATATGGATAAATATCATTAGAAGAAATTAATTCTGCTCTAAATTCACAGAAAAAATTAGGCTGTCTGTAAAAATAATCTATCCTTAAAATAAAAATCTGAATCTTGTTTACTGTGGCTTTCACTTGGTGTAGAAAACTCTCTTATAAAATGAGTATCTTGGCTTTTACTTTGAGTGAAAAAAAAAAAAAAGAAAATGAGTATCCTAAAAATGAATAGCCACAGGAAAAAAATGAAGAGTGAAGGGAAAAACGTACATAAAAATATTCTGTAAACTGTAAAGTGCTTGTAAAAAGGTTAGTCTAGGACTGAGAGATATTACCATAATATCCAACTCCCTTGTCATCTTTCCAACAAAGGGAAAGATACTGAAGAAAAAGCTGTAATCATCAAGCTAACCTAAAATTGTTTCCTCAAGGGCTATTACTGAAAGTAAACCCCAATTAAATGCAAGAATAAACTAAACTTTTTTTTTTTTTTTGAGACAGAGTCTCGCTCTGTCACCCAGGCTGGAATGCAGTGGTGTGATCTCGGCTCACTGCAACCTCTAACCTCCCAGGTTCAAAAGATTCTCCTGCCTCAGCCTCCCGAGTAGCTAGAATTACGGGTGTGTGCCTGGCTAATTTCTTTTGTATTTTTTAGTAGAAACAGGGTTTCACCATGTTGGCCAAGCTGGTCTCGAATTCCTGACCTTACGTGATCCACCTGCCTCAGCCTCCCAAAGTGCTGAGATTACAGGTGTGACCAACCACATCTGGCCTAAAATAAACTTCTTAATAATGAGAAAATATTTACATATGAAGACTAAATTTAATGCCATTTGCCATCATTTTCAAAGCCAAAAGGAGTGCATATATTTTAAAAGAAACCATTCCAATACATATATATTCCATATATACCAAACTATTTAACTAATTATGCTGATACTAAACAATTACATATGTTTCTCTCCCCTGCCCACATGGTTTAGAATTCTTGACAAAAATAATAGTGAATTCCATAGAACATAAATCTATTTTGTAGATATTTATAGCATGAATTGTTTCATCAATTACTTTGTAAAACATATTCAATGATTTAAATTATTTTTTGCATGAAACCCACAGTTTCCTCAAATGGCTTCTGCTATGGTCTGAATGTGCATCCCTTAAAATCCACATTTTGAAACCTAATCACCAACGTAATAGCACTAAGAGTTAGGAACTTTAAGGAGTGATTAGGTCATGAGGGTGGAGCCCTTATGAATAGGAGTACAGCCCTTATAAAAGAGACTCCAGAGAGCTGCATGGTTCCTGCTACCATGTGAGGACACAGCTAAGACGTGCCATCTGTGAACTGGCAGGCCCTTGTCAGACGCTGAATCTTCTGCTGCCTTGATCTTGGACTTCCCACCCTCCAAGGCAGTAAGAAATGATTTTCTGCTTTTTTATAAGCCACTTAGTCTGCAGTATTTTGTTACAGCAGCCCAAACAAAGACAGCATCCATACGAAATAAATTTCCATTCTGTGGTTTTAAAATCATAATATCCTTTCACAAAATAAACTCTTAAAACCCTGGGCCTGTCCAAGGTGGCAGATGGTTGTGCTTGAATAAAAGGAATACAAGTCCTAAATGCTTACACTTACACTTTTAGACTTTCCTTGTCTGTCAACAAGGCTTTCACTGAAGATTCAACTGCAGCGAGGTGTTCCTGAAAATCTCTGAGGAGACAATATTGGCTTTCTTTGTTTTTCTTCAAAGTAATAAGTGCCTGAAGCAAACTGTCCAAGGGCTGTGCCGAATATCCTATATTGTGAAGAACCAAGGCCCCAGTTTCTGTTTTGTTAAGACATTCCATTTGTTCCAGTGGCTTAATGGCTGCTTTCTTTGCTTCCAACTGGGTATATAATTCCTAAAAATAAGTCAAACAGATCAGTCAATAAACACTCACTTATTTATGCATTAATTCATTCATCTTCTTTCCTCTTTGAGATAACACACTCTATCTCAAGAAGAGGGTAACTCATTTGCACACAGGGTAACTAAAGTTGTAACCTTTAAAAATTATTGTTATTTTGTCACTCAGGCTGGAGTGCAGGGTGCAGTCATAGCTCACTATAACCTAAAATTCCTGGGCTCAGGTCTCCCACCTCACCCTCCCACATAGCTAGGACTACAGGTGCATGTCACCACACCCAGATAATTTTTTTATTTTTATTTTTGTGGAGCCAAGAGTCTTGCTATATTGCCCAGGCTGGTCTTGAACTCCTGGTCTTGAACTCCTGGCCTCAAACAGTCTTCCTAGCTCAGCCTCCCAAAGGACTGGGATGACAGGCATGAACCACCATATCCCTAATATTTAAAAGGTTTTTCTTCCCAAGAATCATGTTAAAATCTAGTCTAAAATTCACCATTGGTCCAGCATTTAATGTAAATTAGATCACTCTATCTTAAATTGTTCTGCAATATCTAAAGGGAGATTCATCTTAATTTTATTATTTACATACATCACCCATCTTTCCTATTTTAGATGCATGTTAATTGCATGGATCGTTTATAGTTTGCTGCTTCTTTTTTTTTTTTAGAGACAGGATCTCACTCCATCATCTAGGCTGGAATGCAGTGCCACAATCTCACCTCACTGCAACCTTGAACTCATGGGTTCAAGCGATCCTCCTGTCTCAGCCTCCTGAGTAGCTGAAACTACAGGCACACACCATCTTGCCTAAATAATTTTTGTATTTTTTTGATAGAGATGGGGTCTCACAATGTTGCCCAGGCTGGTCTCCAACTCCTAGACTCAGGCAATCCTACCGCCTCAGCCTCCCAAAGTGCTGGGGTAACAGACATGAGCCACCATGTCTGGCTGCAGTTTCACTTTTTAAAATATGGCCATGTATTGGATTTTTAGATTACACAGCTGGAAGCACATAAATACATAAACGTAACTATGTAAACACAGATGTAAAAACAAAGGTGGAGGAACCTCATCGCACTGATTGTTAGGAAAAATACATTTGTCAAAATCAGAAGAATATATACTTGTAAGAAAAGGAATGATGGCAAATCAAAATCTCTAAATTTTGTCACTAAGTTTTTAGGAACTTTGTGAAACAGAAAGAAGACTAATGTTCATTAAACTCTTCTACTTTCTAAATGGAAAGATTTATACAACTTACTTAGTACATAATTATATAGTTACCAAATTGATCATCAGGCAAAGGTTAAATAAGACTTTTCACTCTGTACAAGCAAGTTTTTGGCAATTAAAATATATTGTATTGCACTGGATAAATGATGCAATCATGTTGTCAGTGTTTTTATGTTTCCATACCTCTATCTCTTCTAATTGTTCATTTCTTAACATAATATCTAATTCTAAAGGTTGATTTTGCAGCTCATTGACTTTCTGCTCATCTTCAGTGTTTTTCATGCTTTCTTGAGCATTGAGAGAAAGTTGTTTTGACATAATCATTTCCACAGCTGAATCCTGAAATACATAAAAAGATTAATTGCTGAATAGTCTACTTTCCAAATAAATACTGTTTATTTTTCTCTATGAAAACATTCCAGTTTCTTCTGTTTACTTGGATTTATAGACTTTAAAAGTATATTTGGGCACTATGAAATGTGATTTTTCCATATAATAATGCCTATGTTGGTATTACCCCAAGATGAAACCTTTTGTGATAAAGTAGTATAGGATATAGCATTGCTCAATTGTATATTGAAGCAAAATCTATAGTCTTAAAGACAGAAAAAATATATTAAAAAAAAACCCAAAAGTGTATGCTTCAGTGTTCACCAGGATACAGTGAGCAGGGCAAATAATAGGCATTTGTTGTTACCTACTGGTAGTTTAAAATAAGTGGCTAGATGGAGGTAACACCAAGGATTCGTGATATTAATTATAGTGACAGGAGGCAGTCAAATGCCTAGACAGATAGGGGCAAGTCCCCGGTGAAACCCCGCCTCCATGCCAAAGGTTTAAAGCCTGAAAGTCAAGCTACAAGTTAATTCCTAAGACGAACCGAAAACTTGTCCTCCTGTTTGGCACACTTTCCTCTGATTGATCCCCACCCTTCCCTTATTTTACATATACCTACCCTTTCCTAATGGGTTTTCTACACTGTTATGCTTTCCTTTGAGTGGAGTCTTTGCTTTAACCTTTTTCGCATAATTACAAACCAATCAGCACACACTCCCTATCCTGGGCCTATAAAGACACCAGAATCAGTTGGTAGAGGAGGAGATGGCCTGACTTCAGGGGAGAGACAACCTGACTTCAGGGAAGACAACCTGCCCTTCCCATCCCCCATTCAGCTCTCCTCTCCACTGAGAGCCATTTTCATCGCTCAATAAAATTCTTGGCCTTCACCATCTTTCAATCATCCACGTGACCTCATTCTTCTTGGATGCTGGACAAGAGCTTGGGACCCACCAAGCATGGGTACCCAGAAAGGCTGTCACACCGGCCCTTTGCCTTTGCAGGTGGAGGGCGGCTGCCCCACACGACGAGGCAAGGGGCCAGCTGAGCTACTGACATACCACCATCTGCAGACAGCAGAACTAAAGGAGCGCCATAATACCCCTTTCTAGGGCTTCAGGATCACGGGCACCTCACCAGGAGCCACTGCGTTCCCCTCAAGGTGACATGCCTGGTCTGGCCACAGGCCCCACACAGAGCTTGTTCCTGTCTTGGCACCCAGAGCAGCTGGCCAGATCCTATGCTCGCTTGCTCACACGCTCCCTCCTGCAAGGGGTTGAGCACAGTGGACCAAGTAGACGGGGCGCCCTTTTTACGAGTCTGGTGAAGGGGCCGAGAAAAATTCTGTATCATTAAGAATAAATTGGCCAGCCACAGTGGCTCATGCCTATAATTCCAGCACTTTGGGAGGCCGAGGTAGGCGGATTGCTTGATCCCAGTCAAGGAGTTCACCATGGGCAACACAGTGAAACCCCATCTATACAAAAAAATACAAAAATTAGCTCAGCGTGGTGGCACGCATCTGCAGTCCCGCTACTCAGGAGGCTGAGGTGGGAGGATCACTTGTGCCCAGCAGGCTGAGTCTACAGTGAGCCATGATTGCGCCACTGCACTCCAGACTGGGTGACAGTGAGACCCTGTCTCAAAATCATTTTGATTTCAAAAAAAAGAAAGGATAAATTATGTCTTAAGCCAATCAGTAGTAATAATTCAAACCTAGGTAAGGCAGAACAAGTTATATATGAGGTAATTTGACCTTTTCTGAAAGCTTTAAGAACTTGAGGTTCTCAATAGGACACAGAGAGACAATGCATCTGCATTCACTTGCTTATTCTTTCAATAAATATTTGTGGAGCCCTGAGATGTACAAAGCACCATGGCAGTAATTTTAAAAGATGTCCATAATTTTGCTAAGGCACTCGTTTTTATTTTCAGGTTACTTTATATATGAAAAATCATTTAATTGTGCTATATACTTTCATGTCCATAGAATCTTTGAGGTATCAAATTTGTGAATAAAACATGTCCACATCCCCAAATAAGGTAGAAATTGATGTCTTAAAAATACTCTCTAGATATATTGTAAGATGTTAACAATAGGGGAAACTGGGTGCAGGGGTGTAAAGGAACTTTTTGTATTATCTCTGCAACTTCTCTGTAACTGTAAAACTATTCTAAAATTAAAAGTTCATTTAAATAAAACAAATATTGTCAGGAGCTTCACCAGTTTTAACTGGAAAGAGAATTCCATTGTCCAGGGCTACTGGTTTTGAAGTACTTAATTGGCATTTAGCATAAGTCACTTCTTCTAAAAGGCTGCAAATTACTGAAATAATTTTGTAAATTTCCTCAGGTTCCAACAAGGTATTGAGGGACACTGTGGTGAAAATCTACAGCTAGGGCAGCAGCATCTCACAGGGGAAAGATCCAGGAAGTCTATGAGAAGAGAGGTGCCACATCTCAGGTTTCACTGGCCAGTAGGTGCTTTCTGCCTATGAGCCAGTCCTATGAGCTAGATAGTTGTTTCCTTTCTATCTGATGGTTGCTATTTCCTAGAGGACCCCTAGAAATACATCCTGGGCCCCAGAGAACCTGCACTAAAAGCCTAGATACTGGACCTGAGGAACACTTTATCTGTTATTCTTCATCTACTAAGATTGCAGAACCCTTAGTCTCTCTTATCTGATGATCCAGTACCTGAGGACTATGGTTACACAACAGAAAAGTAACATTTCTAACAACTGCCTTTAGTAGTCAGAAAAAGGATGCTCAAAAACCTGAAATTACCCCCAAAAGTTCAATTGTTTACCAACTCCCAAAGCCATGTTTCTAACTTGGCAGAAAAGCCAACAGAATCCCTTGAACTAATATTTCCAATGTAAAAGGTCCTTTGCTTGTGACAGAGAGGTTAGAACACAGACTCCAGGTCCTGATAGGCTCCTGGAACGATTCTTTCATTACCAGGCGTCCTTTGCTCACCACCCTTTCCTCCATTTTAATTTTACTTTGCACGTTCATTTGAAACGTTTTATTTTAATAAGTAAAATATTTCATATGAACCTTAATAAAATATAACTGTATCAGTCCATTTGCACACTGCTGGTAAAGACATACCTGAGACTGGGCAATTTAAAAAAGAAAGAGGTTTCATTGGACTTATAGTTCCATGTGGCTGGGGAAGCCTCACAATCATGGCGGAAGGCAAGGAGTAAGTCACATCTTACATGAATGGCAGCAGGCAAAAAGAGAGAGGTTGTGTGGGCAAACTCCCGTTTTTTAAAACGATCAGATCTCATGAGACTCATTCACTATCACGAGAACGGCGCAGGAAAGATCCACCCCCATAATTCAATCACCTCCCACCAGGTTCCTCCCACGGCACGTGGGAATTGTGGGGCTTACAACTCAAGATGAGATTTGGGTGGGGGACACAGCCAAACCACATCATACTGCCGCTGGCCCCTCCAAATCTCATGTCCTCACATTTCAAAACCAATCACGCCTTCCCAACAGTCCCCCAAAATCTTAACTCATTTCAACATTAACCCAAAAGTCCACAGTTGAAAGTGTCATCTGAGACAAAGCAAGTCCCTTTGCCTATGAGCCTGTAAAATCAAAAGCAAGCTAGTTACTTCTTAGATATAATGTGGGTACAGGTATTTGTTAAATACAGCTGTTCCAAATGGGATGAATTGGCCAAAACAAAGGAGTTACGGGGCCCATGCAAGTCTGAAATTAAGCAGGGCAGTCAAATTTTAAAACACCAAAATGATCTCCTTTGACTCTAGGTCTCATATCCAGGTTATGCTGATGCAAGGGATGGGCTCCCATGGTCTTGGGCAGCTCTGCACCGGTGGCTTTGCAGGGTACAGCCTCCTTCCCGGCTGCTTTCATAAGCTGGCATTGAGTGTCTGCAGCTTTTCCAGGCAAATAGTGCAAGCTGTCAGTGGGTCTACCATCCTGGGGTCCGGAGGACAGTGGCATTTGCTCAGTGTGGTGGCATGTGTCTGTAGTCCCAGCTACTCAGGAGGCTGAGGTGGGAGGATCACTTGAGCCCAAGAGGCTGAGGCTACAGTGAGCCATGATTGCGTCACTGCACTAGGCTAGGTAACAGTGAGACCACTCCACTAGGTGGTGCCCCAGTAGGGACACTGTGTGGGGGCTCCGATCCCACATTTCCCTTCTGCACTACCCTAGCAGAGGTTCTCTGTGAGGGCCCCGCCCCTGCAGCAAACTTCTGTCTTGGCATCCAGGTGTTTCCATACATCTTCAGAAATCTAGGCAGAGGTTCGCAAACCTCAATTCTTGACTTCTGTGTACCCACAAGCTCAACGCCAAGGCTTGGGGCTTGCACACTCTGAAGCCACAGCCCGAGCTGTTCCTTGGCTCCTTTTAGTCAAGGCTGGAGCACCTGAGATGCAGGGCACATGGTCCCTAGACTGTATACAGCAAAAGGACTCTGGGCCCAGCCCACAAAATCATTTTTTTTTTCCATAGGCCTCTGGGCCTGTGATGGGAGGGGCTGCTGTGAAGACCTCTGACATGCCCTGGAGACATTTTCCTGTTGTCTTGGGGATCAGTATTCAGCTTGTTACTTATGCAAATTTCTTCAGCCTGCTTGAATTTCTCCTCAGAAAATGGGTTTTTGTTTTCTATCATATTGTCAGACTGCAAAATTTCCTAACTTTTATGCTCTGCTTCCTTTATAAAACTGAATGCCTTTAACAGCACCCAAGTCACCTCTTGAATGTTTTGTTGCTTAGCAATTTCTTCCACTAGATACCCTAAATCATCTCTCTCAAGTTCAAAGTTCCACAAATCTCTAGGGCAGGGACAAAATGCCACCAATCCCTTTGCTGAAACATAATGAGTCACCTTTGCTCCAGTTCCCAACAAGTTCCTCATCTCCATCTGAGACTACCTCAGCCTGGACCTTATTTCCATTTCACTATCAGGCTTTTGGTCAAAGTCATTCAACAAGTTTCTAGGAAGTTCCAAACTTT